AATGGATTCATGCACAAAGGAATTTTATGATAATTTACTGACGTATTTTATCAATTACGACCTTTCATCATTTAATGTACGAATCATACCGATGACTGAAGCCAAACAAGATTTAATAGAATTATCAACAAATCCTTTAGATGTATGGATAAATACACATTATGATGAATTGTGTGCGGGTATGACGTGTAAAAATGCTCTATTCTGCAAACCATCAGACATGAAAGACAAGAATTTCCAAATGAGCATTAAGGATAAATGTGATAGGAAACAGAGAAGAATAGATGGTAAACAAACATGGTGTTATGTTTTGAAAGAAGAAATGAAAGGATTATATAAACAGGTTGAACCAAACGATAATGAGGATTCATTTACTGACGATGAAATACCTGTAAATGAAGCTTTATAAAGTATGATTGGAATTTATTTTTGCATTAATCCTGCTGTGTTGTCTAAATGTCATGTTGTCATCATTTTTAAAAGAAGTTAATTAACCTGGTGACACATGGTGACGTAGTGACACCTTCAGTTCTTCAAAAATAATTAATTATTGAATAACCTAAAACATGAGACTTTGTCCCGGACTCTTTGAGTCACTTAACGTAAACATAAATTTTCGTACCTGTTGTCTAAATGTCATGTTGTCATCATTTTTAAAAGAAGTTAATTAACCTGGTGACACATGGTGACGTGGTGACACCTTCAGTTATTCAAAAATAAATTTTCTTATCATTCAAATTAACTAAAGATGAACTTAATAAAATGATGATAAAATAACTGATAACAAAATTTTAATTTTTATATAAATGAATACCCCACAAGCTCAAAATTTACCACGAATCATAACAAGGGAGGAAACGATAAAAATGATGCGAGAACTTGCTAAAAATAACAAACCACTAAAACTGAGAAAATGTGGTTATGCAATAATGATGGAAAGAGAGATGTTGTCAAAGAAAAATAAAAAATTAAATTTGGATAGAGTTTAAAAATTCATCTTTATTAAATTCATCTCTTCCAATCAATTTATTTATTCTATTAAATTCTTTTATTTTTGCTTCACTCAGTTTAAGGATTGAACGGTAAGTTTCTAACTTTTCAATTATTTCTTTCCTCTCTTTATCGTTTTCAGCCCCACCGCATTGCGACTTCTTTTTGTAATAGCATATTTTTGATTTAATTCTGTTTAGTTTCTTTTTATATTCATCGTCTGGACTCTGAATCTTAATTAAATCAGGACTCTTGGCTGCTTTGTTGTCACTCATTTCTTACGAAATAAAAAAATTAAATATTATTTAAATATAATGGAGTAATAAAATAAATCGGAATTTCTATTAATTTATTGTCAACTTCAACTAATGCATTGCCGTTAATATATCTAACAAATTCAGCTATTGTGTCAAATCTTCGTCTTCTTTTTGTCATTGATTTATTAGTTTTTCCATAATCGAGATGAATCAAAACTTTATCCCTTGTTTAAAATTCATGAGCCCCGAATTAATTTGTTCACGTTTAACATCATTTAACCTTTCCATTTGCTTTCTAATATATTCCCATTCTTTTGAAATATCATTTTTCATTTCCACTGGTTTCATGTTTATAGTTCTATGCCATGTATTATTATAATAATATACTAACTGCTGTATGATGGAGTCATGATTTCCATCCCAGTATATCTGACCGTTAACCCTAACGCATCTCTAAGAGTTCTCATTACCGCATCAACTATTTTATTATGAAACGTATATGGAGAGGATGAAAAGAAAAAATTAATTTGTGGGAAATAATGAGTCATAGTTGCCTGAAATCCTTTATCACCATCACCCCTTATATTATCTACTCTTTCATGATCTAGTAAGTATTGAATAGCTCTTCTTGTTCCTGTTCTGTTTTCCCTTTCACCGGAATGCAATATAAATATCTAGTGTTAATGTTAATGGCAAATAAATAAGTAACGTTTCCTTTTGAATATTCTAAATGATCGATTTCGTATGAATATGGATATGGTGCAAATGAAGGGCGACTAAATTTTTCCTTTAACGGTTGAATTTTTGGGTCAATTGGTTTATTTAATATCTTGAAACACTTTTTAAAATCTTTTTGCTTCTTTAATGTTTGAAATGGATATAATAAAGTGAATGATGAAGGATTAACTGAAGGAGGAGAGGTACTGTCGTTGGAGGTTTTGGTGTTGCAAGTGGTTTAATTTTATCTGCTTTGATTTTGGATTTCATTCCCCCCTTCATTAATTCTGGATGTATTCTATTCATTTGTTTTAAATATGCTGTATATAAAGGTTTGATATACTTTCCCGCTTCGAGTTTATGTTGAAGGATGAATTCCAAAAGTTGATCTTCATTTAAAAGTCGGGCTGAATATGGTTTAACTAATGAATCATAAATTAAAGCTTGTGCTTCATTTATGGTCTGAAGGACCTGGGTGTTTTGCACCTTTTGTTTTTGTTCCTTTGGCTTTTGCGGCTCAGGATTATATAATTTATATAATTCATCAATATCTTCTTCTGTTAATACTTTATTTTTGAAATCTTTCAACTGTTTAAGTTGTGATTTAGTTTTTCCCTTTGTATATTCATTATTTTTAATTTTGTCTTTAATTTCAGAAATTATTTTATTATGATATTTCAAAATTTCATTTTTATAATATGGATAATAATATTCCATATCATCACCCATTATATTGTTATCATATTTTTGGAGATATGATTTTAATTCATAATAATTAAGAAAATTTTGATTAAATACTAAATCATCAATTAAAATTTTTTAAATCTACGCTATTCATTTATATAAAAATAAAATAAATGTTTAAGGGTGCCCACCTCTTTGAATCATAGTATCAAAACCATTATTTACGATTCCTTTTGTCTCTTCTGTGGCATTTTATTAAAAATAAAATTTTAAATTGTATTAAATAAATGGCATACAACATCCATTTTCACAACATACAGCCTTAGTGTGTGCTCCTGTTAATGCAGTCTTACCAATTGTTAAGCGAGTCATTGACCCATTTTTAAGTTGTAAATTAATATTCTGACCATCAAATATCACTTTATCATTTATTATATCCAAATAATTTTTAGGTGTTAATTGTTTATTTTGTCGTAAACTAACACCTTTCATTTTTTGTGCAATCTTTTTAAAATCACTTCCATCAATTGAACCGTTGAATGATGTATAACACTTAGGGCATAAAGCAACCATGTTATCACCTTGTTTCTCAATTGCTAAACCCAATAACTTCTTCTCATGTGCTTTTTCTTCAGCTTTATTCTTTAATTTAGGTTTAAATTTCTCATCAAAACAGAAGAAATCAAATGGTGCGAATTTGAAAATGTTTTTATCATAAAATTGTTTATCGGTTACAATTGCCTGAAATGCTTGAGTGTTAGGAAGACTTGGATCGCCAGCAATAGCCCAATAAGATGAATCGGTATCACCTTCAATGAAATGAAAACGATTAACATCCATGCATTTATACATAAAATCATAAATGAAAACTAAATACCAGTATTTTGCGTTATCTAAAGTAAAAAATGCCTCTTGTAAACATGTATCACATCTATAAAATCTATCTTTGAGCATCACTTGATACGTATCCTCTCCTATTTCTCTTATGTTTTTAAACTTATTTGACATACATGCAATGCGTGCCTTCTGTGCATTCATTATTTTAGTCTTTGCGTGATTTTGTGTATTCATTGCATCGTAACCATATGATCCATTAAGTGAAATCTTGCAAAATAAACTTTTTCCTTTATTTCCTTCTAATTCAGCCTTTTGTCTTTCGTTCATAAATTTGTTCGCAAATTCATTAAAACAAGTGTTTTTAGTAAATGTTAAAATTGATTGAATATCATCAATGATAAAATGAAATCTGTCTATTAGATACCAAAGATAATAAGAAGAAAATGGTTGATATTGGTTGTGTGTTGATGCTAACTGAGTTAATTTTCTCTGTTTCTGGTCAACCGGTAGATTGTTTGATTTCATGTAATTATACATAAAACTACCAATTGTTTTTTCATCTGTGATAATATCTAAGTTTCTTATTATCGGTAAAAAGTTTATGTAATCATTAATGTATTTTTCATCAATGTGACCCTTTACTTCAGCCACGAATAAAGTATTTTTCTTCTTAATTATTCCCAGTGCTTTTGCTTTCTTTGTTGCTGTATCACAAATGATAACACCATTCAATCTTCCCGGCATATACATTTTATGGTCAGTATATTGAATGAAATCATGAGGATTAGATGAAAATGATGAAGGATATAATGAATTAAAGTCAACACCAACGAAATGAGTCATAATGTTGGAAGTGTCCTCATTTGATACAGTTTTAGTTTCTGGATTATATGAAAGTTTATTAATGTGCGTGATTCCTTTAAGATTTACTCTATGTTGAACATTTGATAGACCACCAGTAATTCCATTACGGAGAATGTGATAAGCTTCAACTGAATCTAAAGTCATTGGTAAATTATTTTTTAATGCATAATTTCTTAAATTGATTCTTAAACGTTGAACATCTTCATCTTTATTTGATTTCACGACATTGCAATAACAACACATTAACTGACAATTTTCTTTAGTATGTGGTTTTTCATTATCGATTCTATCTAATGTTGGTTTATTTGCATATGTAAACGCTTTACCACACATTTTGCATTTAGATGAAAGGATTAAATCGTGATAGTATTGAAAATCATCCATTGAAACATTATTTTTAGTATCTCTTTCTGCTTTTTCATCTTGTTTCTTATATGATTCAATTTTATATTTCCAATACTTTTTCGTTAATTCAAAACTTGATTCTATCTCTTCTTCAGGATATTTTTCATTAGGATTAAAGTCTTTATATGCTAAAGCGTAACGAATCATTGAAGCATTCGATGATAAAGAAAGATTATGAAGCATATCAATTTTATAAACAAATGTTTCTTCAATAATTTTATCGATTGGGTCAATCATAATTTCAACATCTTTATTGCAATAATGAATAAAATATTCTAATCTATTCTTAAAGTTTTTAGCATCATTGAGATATATTTGATAATCACTATCTGATATAGTTTCTTGAGTTAATGCTGAATAAAATGAATCTTTCGTGAATGGTTCCTCTTTATATAATTCTTCTTCGTAATTTTCCCACGTGATGAATTGATAAGGGAAAAAGGATTTAACACGTGTTTTATTGTTTCCGAAATCTTGAGTGAATTGGTCTAATGTCCCACCCGCTATATAATTTCTGATGTCAATAAATCTCAATTCATATGGAGTGTTTGTTTTCTTTACAATGATTTGCTTAAATTGAGAAGAAGAACCCAGCATTGATTTTATTTTCCATTTTGCAGTGTTTAAATCACGAAGAATTAAATTTAAATCAAACTTTCCCGAATTAAAACCTATGATATTCACTTTATTGAATTCCTCATCTAGAAGTTCTTTAAATGCTTCCTTCTGTTTTTCATTTAATGTATGGGACAAAGTCCCCGCCGTTTGGTCTGAAAGACCTTCAGGACTCAAAGAGTCCGTTTGCGACTTCATTAATTCTTCATATTGTTCAATATTTGATTTAGCAACTAATGAACAGGTTGAAAATAAAAACTCAATCCAATCAGAAATAAAAGAATCACTCGAAGTTAAGCAAAAATTCCTCGTATATGTTTTATCGTTTAATTTAACCGTTGATGATACCATGAATGGTTTTAAGTAAGCGTTCAAAGTTGCACACTCAGAAAGTTGTAATTCTTCTTTAGTCTCTAATGTTTCGAAGTCAAAAGTAATATAATATCTTGTCGGTTGATAATATTCCTGCAAATTATGAGCTAATAACCACTGATATATCTTCTGTTTCGTAATATGTGGTGCATATGGTTGCTGTGTCTTTTGCAACTGAACGTCTTGAATTAATCTTCCATTATTTTCTTTACATTTCTCACAATGCTTTAAAAATCTTCTTTGGTTTTTCCTTTCTGGATCATCACGGATAGAATAAACTTCTTCTTTACAATATGGACAAACTCTATAGCCGGTGAGTGCTTCAACGTCTGTTATTCTGTCAGCGTGAAGTTTTCCACATGGACTCTGTGTTAATAAAATATTTACTGTTTCAAATTCTGGATCTATCATTATTGATTCCACTAATGGAAAGTCTACCTTATTTATGTCCACGTCTTCTGGTTGAGGATCACAATAATAGAAATCAATATTAACATTTAACATTCTCGCTAATCTCTCACTTTCTGATGAAATGTCAAACCCTTCATATGAATCTATTGCTTCATTTAAATAACTTCTACGAGTTTTAGGATTAACACCATCAGGAATGTTATAGAAGCGTTTAAATAACCTTCTACCTTCTGCTCTAATTTGATTATCATTCATTTTAGCTGTTCCGTTTTTGTTCATTTATGTATGAATAAAAAATTAAAAAATAAATAAAAATAAAGTTTATTTTTTAAAGCCCATAAAATGAATTAAGAACACATAAATTTTTATCATCTGCGACGTGACGAATACATTTTAATTTACTCAAGAATGCGTACCCGGATACATTAAATCTAATTCCTGTCTTATTTAATTTCACAACTTTGAAAAGGAATGTATGAATAGCTATAAAATGATGAGAAGATGTTTTATGGGTTGCTTCCATTTTTTCTGAAATAAATGAATAAATATAATGTTTATAAGTTTTCATATCTTTTATATTCTTAATAACGAATGGTATAGACCTTTCAACTTCGTCTTCCTTCGGTGCTGTTCTTTCATATGAAACATTATTAGTATCTTCAATAATGAAACCACAATCACACAAAATTTTATAGGTTCCAATGGTTTCTTTTGATATTTTATCTAATAAATCAAAAACTTTATCAACACCTGTGCATTTATTTAAATAATAATTTGTGTAAATATCATGATCTTCTTTCTTAATCGTATTAGTTGCATATGTCACGTTTTTAAGAGCTTTTTTGAATTTCTCAGAATCGAGAGGGGGTGAAAGTAAGATACAAGGGTATTTTTCATTATCAATAAATTGTAACTTATGTTTACGAATAAATTTAGTACCTTCTTCTGAAAGTGTTTCATCTATTTCGCCATCTAATAAATTTTGTGTTGATTCTGAGACATAATTTTTATATCTTTCTTCATGAGATTTCTGTACTTCTGATTCTGAAGCTGGGATATTCATTAAACCCTCTACTTCATTTTCATTATATTTTTCAACTTCTCTTAATTCCTTAATTTTTTCATCTATTTCATCTCTTATTTTTTTCAGTCTTTCAATTTCATTGTATTCATCATCATCTTTAATCCGTTCTTCATAATATTCGGGGAAAACATCAGGTTCTTTAGGTTTTTCTTCTTCAGATGTAGGATATAAGAAATTTATAACATCATCTTTATTCATTTTTCCATCATAATCTAAATCATTTAATAACTCGGCAAATTTTTGACAATTTCTTAAATAATATTTACTAACTTCATAACACATCTCATCTAATATATCCTTTATTTCCTCGTTTGTGAATCCTAATTTTTTAACGTTGTTAGTTTTGACGCTCATTTCATACGAATTAAAAATAAATTATTCAAAAATGTAAGACATGAATTTTTAAAGTTTATTTTTTAAAAATTTTTTTATTTCATTATGGTAGTGAATCTTTCATTCATGAAAATAATTATTTCTAATTTCTTTTACTCTCTCGTACATACTAGATTTAAAGAATTCAGAACATTTCCCATAATCTCCTAAATGTTTTCTTATCCCTAACGTGTGCCAGTTATTATATGAAACTGAATAAACTTTATCTTTATCTTTACACCTTTCATCACTTCCAATATATTTATATCTCAGTTTTGATTTAGCATTTTCATATTCATTAGCGTTTAATAATTCACAGTCTTCCTTTTTAAATAAATGTTTTATGTATTCAGGATTTAATACTCTACGTTTATATGCTCCTAACTTAGTTCTAAAGGTTTTTCTACAAAATTTAGGAATTCCATCCTCTTTAATGTCATCAATGATTTCCATTTCATTATTTTCAATTTCTTCTTCTCGTTTATGAGGTCTTTGATTATGACTCCATTGATTCCATGAAATTAAATATTCTTTATCATTATATTTATACCTCATTAGCTTATTTTGGCTTTCATATTCATTTAATAATTCACAATCTTCATTTTTAAATTGAAGTTTAACCCATTCAGGATTTAAACAATGTTTAATTAATCGCGGAATATCTGACATCATCTATATATAGCTTCTTTTATAAAAGATAAAAAAATAAATTATTTTAAAATTAATGTTAATTTTTTAATGATTTATAAATAAATATATTTTAATGCATCGTCTATATATAGATGTAACAAAAAAAGTCACACAACCCTTCATATCCTACTACTGTTAAAAAAAAAAGAATTGTAATTTCTTTAATAATGTTTTGTTGTCATCTGCACTATGAGAAATAAGAAGTTCAGCTATTTCTTTTTGCAGACTTTTCGCTGCAGTAATAAGAGCAGTACTTCGTTTCTTATTTTCAGCATTGATATTAGAACCATACAAAATAACAAGTTCTACAACATTTCTGTCTTTCTATTAAGGGTATAGTAAACTCAAAATTCTAGAGTTTTGAGAGTGCCAATAAACTCTATAGGCCTATATATATCTATATTTTAAAGGAGAGGTTACGCCATAATATTTGATATTATAAATTATTAATTCAAAATAAAAGTAGAAAATGAAACTAATTTTATTCTAACCTATATAAATATATCAATAATCTAAAATGATTATAGTCTGAACTATATTTTACCAGATTATCAAATATAAGAGAAATGAAATAAGGCATAAAAATATCATAGCATAATTATTGGATAAATGCATTAATAAATTATTTATATCATAATGAGAAAAAATCAAAATAAGAAAATGAGCATAATAATAATTTAATTAAAAACAAAAACAATAAATAAAATGTAATTTTCGTTAATCAAAGTCATCAATGTCTTCGTCTTCTGATTCCCATTCGGACTTGAAAACTTGATAATCTCCTCCTGGTACACTCTGAATAAATTTTTTGTATTTGTTCTGTTTTTTAGAACCTTTTGTAACAGTTTTTTGTTTCAATATCATTTTGGAGTAACAATTCTCTTCAAATGATTTGACACAATCTTCTGGAAGTGGGGAAAGATGTAATGCTTTTTGTATATCTCCGAGAAAATGCTCTGGATCATTTCATTCTAAGATTGCAACGTTAACTCTAATGTTAATGTTCTTCCAGGCTCTTGATTTGTCCAAATAGCATGCAATTTTGGAGTTAAACGCTTCATTCATGCAGGTAGATCCAATGGAAGAAACTTTGGAAACTATGGGTGTCCATTTGTGAACCCAGTCATAGAGCATGAATTGAAGTTGGATCGAATTGACACCTTTTTGCCATTCAAAGCATTTGTAATTGTGCGGTTCGCAAAAAGAATGATTGCCTACGTAATGGTAGACACAATTCTCCCACATTTTCGTACGTTTGTCAATATTTTCTTCGGCAAAACATGACCAAAGCCACATACTTAGGCTTGCATTCAGACCCCAGAAAGGTCTCTCTATTTTTTCAATCTTCTGAGTCTTGTCGTTGAAAACTTCAACTGTCTTATGAGAAGCTGAGAACTTTGTAAAATCTTTTGAGATATTTTTTGATACATGACCTGGATCGAATCTTTCAAGATGAGAGACGCCAAATTCTTTAAAGACAGAGACACTTTTGTTATCTCGGTCTTTAATAATCTCTTTAACATCTTTCAAGATATTGTATTTCTTTAATTGCTTCAAGATGATTCGAGTTCCAGCACTTTCCATATTGTTGGAAGCTCCGGAATACTGAGCATGCTGTCTGTTTCCACCAATATGGTTGATGTTCACGCATGCAAGAACTCTTTTTGTGACAGCATCGAGCGCAGTTACTGTACAACTTGGCGAGTTTCGCCTGTGCGTCCATCTTGCATCAATGGATAAGTAACCACTGAAGGACTTTCTCGACAGCATTAGGGAAATACTTTTAAGTCTTCTAATCTTATCGTCACAAAATCTCTGTTGTCTCATGACACCACTCTTCACAGGGGGCTTAGTTCCACAAAGAGAAAGAAAGCGAGCACCTTTTGTATATGGCATTCCGGTCATTATGCAAGCACCAAGCATCTGTCGCGCTGAGAGTCGACGACGTTCGTGGAGTAAAATGTTATGCATTGCCTTTGTTTTCCGTTTTGGGTGAACAATATGGCCCATACAACAAAAAAAAATGAAATCCCGCCAAAAGTGAAAATTGAATAAAAAGTAATAATTAATAAATATATACTATATCATTAGATGAATATTTTGGAATAACATTTTAAAATCGAGGTTTTTCAATGGATAACGGTTCAATCAAAAATTTGACCCCATTTTAGAATCTACATTAAAAATGGAACATTTCTGTCGTTTCAAAATTCCAAAATAACGTTTCTATTCCTCTCAAAAGTAAAAATAAACTTTATTGGGGAAAAATATTTTTATTTTCCAAAAAAAATGAAAACCTTAAATGCAAATCTAATTTTGATGCTTTTGTTTGTGATTTTTTGGATTTCGAAAAAAATTTGAAAATTCAGACAAGTTACCATTAACACTAATACGTTTCAGCGAGTCGGTCCCATCAGAGAAATTTTCATAAATCGGCGATATAATTTATTATTTCAGCAAAATATTCTCAGATCCAACTAGAATAAGGTCAAATTATACAAATTTAGCAAAGGCTAGTTATCCTACCTATTCAATTAACTTTAATTTTAAATAATTCAAGACAATTCTCAAAATTACCTTAATAATCGCGTTCTCTTCGCAAAATGACGATTCATCATTCACTACCAGCATAACTGAGGGCTTGTGCTCACAGAATAATACAGATAATTTACTTATTAATGCAAAATTTAGTACCAAAAGGTAATCATAGAAGATACAAAAAAAGTTTCTTTATTTTGATTGCTGATTTTATTTCTTCTAAAATTTACCAAATCTAAAAAATCCAAAATTGAATGCTATTGAATTTCATGTTTATGTAACATATACTATTTATTATATAAGGAATAAAAATTTTATAGTTTTAATCAAAAATAAAGGTGTACTAAATGCATACAAAACAAGGTATTTTTTACTCATCCAAAATATGTTAACAGTGCTATTTATATAATCAATATCCGAATTTCGAAATCATTTTGATGAAATCTTTATTTTAAAATTGAGTTGACTGTTAAAATCACCCGAGAAGAGGGATTATCTCAATGAAAAGTGCATAAAATAGCAAACGCACAAGATGGCACTATGCAGCTTTATATTGTTATACAGGATGAACATATAAAATGTTTGGAAAACACTTACTTCGTTCTACAAATGTGTATCTCTTTATATCAAAGATTCTTCTCAAATTATTGAGAGACTTCTCTCAAAAAAAGGAAAATTTGATAACTAAAAAAAATTATGGCATAACCTCTCGTTTTGCATAGATATATATTTACATGGTCACAGAGCTTATTTTCATTGTCAAAACTTAAAAATTTTTAGTGGACTATACCCTTAAAAATGGTACCAAACAATATGTTATGCAAGATATTGCGAAATATTTTTGATAACTTCAGAATACACAATAATATATTATTTGAATACTTTATATAGTTACATATATTATTGTCACTCAAAAAATCACGATTTCTAAAGTTAGCCTTGAAATGTATACATTATATTCATTATATTATATGCTAATGAACTTTTTGCAAAGTTAGTAGTTAAACATGTATATATTTATTCATTGAAAGGGAGGAATAATGGACTAAAAATTATTGTCACTTTTCAAGTGCACGTTTGAAATTTCTTCAGAAACGAAATGAAAAACGGTAATGATGCTCAGCCAAAACAGAAAAAGATCGTTTACATCAACAAATTCGATTTCCCAGAGGATCCTTCTAAGAAAATCTTTCTACCTAAGAAACAGAGCCAATTATTATCTCTCGCTACAGATGCATTAGATTTACCAAGAGATGCTCAACAAGTTTTTGATACTGATGGAAATGTTATTACAAACATTGACGATATTCAACCAAAACAAAAGCTATTAATATCTTGTACAAAACCTTTACCTGATCCAGAGTTAGAACCAAAATACAAGTCTAGACAGCCTACTGGACGATCAATACGCCCAGTCATTATACCAAAGCAACCAGATGTTATACCACCACGCGACGACGCAGAAATTCAACAATCTTTAGCTTTTCGGAACATTTCTGTTAAAGAAGGAATTAGGAATTCATTAGTATCACTATACAATAACTTATCTCCTCAGCATAAAGCTCAGCTCGAAAGTTCCGAGGCATTAAAACAATTAAACGAACAAAACGCGAAATATTTGTTTGATACATATCTGTCTAAGCATTTTATTTGCCCTACATTACAATTAGATGATAATGATATCGGAAAAATGACTTGGAATAGGGTTCTCTTAATTTTGCAACTCCTGACACATACGCGCCGTAGCCATGGCCATCACCACCACCTGCAGGTCCGTAAGATTCGATAAAATAGCGTCCAGGAAAGAATTGGTACTCGAAAGTCTGTCCAAGAGCTGTGAACCTTTTAAGCTCTTTGAGACTAATCAATTAATTTTGGAAGTTGTGATGTGAAACATTCAAAAAATTAAATTCAAAATTATTGAATTAGATAAAATTTTAAGGGTGCACACGAGAGGATCATGTAAACTTCAGAATTTAGAACCTTATTTTTAGGCATTATCTTGGCTACCTATTTAGGCTCGAAAAGCAAAAAATATCAAAAAATACAACTTGACTCCATTATGACCCTTTCATGGAGGTAGTTTTTATCCGCTAGTATTTTCCCTTTGAATCTCTTTACAATTCGAAATCAAATTCAAAACTCAGTAGAAGAAAGGAAGAATCGACTTACTACGGTTGTAATACGAATAAATACATATATTTAATTATTTTTATTTACATAATAATTGTTTGAAGCTCATATTCCATCAAATTTTTAAATAAAAACATTAAAATGTTGAAAATGTTCATATATTTTAATAGGGTTTTGGCACTTTATTGAGGAATTACTACATACATAGTCGAACTGAACTTGATATTTTGAAATTTAAATTATTTATCAAAATTAAAATTTAACTTGAAATTTATAATTATTTAGTCATATTTTGCATAATTCTAAGTAGATTTTGTAAAAAATCAAGAAAGAAAAATTTTAACGTGCTTTATTTTTTCTTTTTTATAATAATACATATTATTATATAATTAACATAGTCATAATGTTTCACCCTTTCAAAAATATAATCCTCCTCCTCTCAAATAAACGTACATACAAGTGGCCTCTTTTTTCAAAAAATTAAAATTTGAAATTTTGGGCTCAAATATTAGAGATTTTTTCAACCTTCAACGATATATGTTGTCTATATCAGACCTCCTTTCTTTTTGATACTTAACATTGTTCCTAAATCTTAGCCGTTAAGGCTGTTCTGAAAATATTTTTTTTTCGAAAAAATTCGAAAAAAATTCTTAAAATTCAAAAATCCCTTAATTCCTGAGGATTTTGGAAAAAAGTTTTTACATGAACATGTGTATATTATATGAAGTATATTGATAAGGTAAAAATCAAATTTTATTGCATATTCATCGAGAAAATAAACTAACGAATCCCTCAAAATTGAGAGGGTAATCCTCCTCCTCTCAAATAAACGTACATACGGGTGCACCCTTAATGGATTTAAAGAAGAAAAAATAGGTGATTTTTTTGATTGAAACAAAAGTCACCAAATACAATAGGTAGATTTCTAAATCACTCACTACTGACATACATGATTTTTCTCATTTTTGTTTTAATAAATAAGTTTTCTAAGGAAATTAACAGTTAAAACTTTATTTTATAATGGATGTAATTTATTTCATGCCTGTAGTTGAAAATTCAATTGATTTATTTTGAATCTTACATTTATTAAAAGGTTTTAGTCTTTCTTGCGTTCAACACCAAGGGCACCACCACGACGGCCAGTAGACTTTGTGCACTGACCACGGACCTTAAGGCCAAGACCGTGGCGGATACCACGTTTCATACGCATCTTCTTCATGCGCTCGATTTCTGCACGAATGTTAGCACCGAGATCTGTGGCAACCCAGTGAGTATTTTGACCTGTAGCGCGGTCGAAGCGGCGGTTGAGCATCCAAACTGGAATCTGGTGTTCTGTTGGGTTCTGGATGATAGAAACAATGAGTTCTTCCTCCTTTGGTGTAAGTGTACCAGCACGGCGGAGTGGGTCAAGGCCTGCGCGGCGAACGACGGCGTAGGCAAATCTGCGGCCAATACCGGAAATGTTTGTAAGAGCAAGGTAGAGTGGGCGGCGGCCATCAACGTTTGTTGAGAGCATACGGACCATATCACGGAAGGCAGCTGGATCTGTTACTTCGATTGGCATCGTTCAAAAAAGAGCAAGCCATGCAACTTTACAACTATTCAATATTAAATTATTAGACAAATATATCTTTTGATATTATAAATAAATTACATGACATCACAATAAAAAATTTCATATATAATTAGGCTAAAATATAATAAATTATTGTATTTTATTTTGAAGAATATTTATATTTGAGTTTTGAGACTGGTAATCACTCTTCTTCAAGAAGAATAATTTTGGTATAGTAAAGAAATGGCCAAATTTCTTACTTGAGATGATTTTAGATTTTATTCAAAGGATAGTAATATATAATATCCCTCTACATTATAATAAAAACAATCAATTTTATTCTTTTACTTTGTAGAAACATCAATTCAATATATAATTTTTAAAATTTATTTCGAATTACAAAACAAATCCTTAATGCATTGAATATCAGCAGAACACATTTCCATGTACTGGTAAATATTCATATCAGCCTCATCTTTCATTTTCCTTAATTCTTCCTTTGATTTTCCTGATTTTATCAAGTAATCAATCAAAAACTCGCAAAGTTTCTCATTTTTGTTGTGGATTGCTCTCCACAAAACAGTTCTTCCATCATCATCAGCTGCATTAACATTTGCACCCTTAGACAACAAGAATTTAACTTTTTCCAGTGACAACTTTTTCATTCTTTCATAATAATCATCATGATTCAAAAAAATCACAGTTTTCGGCAAAATTGCAGCATAATGCAACGGTGTTCTTCCGTATTTATCCTTCTTCTCCATGTCTACACCATGTTTAAGTATGAATTCCAGTTCTCTACACGTTCCTTTTTGTGCTGCCGTGTGCAAACTATTTTTGTGGAATTTGTTTTCGAAATGAGAACCATTATTCAACAGCCAAATCATTATAGAAAGCGAACTACCAGCTGCAACCATTTCTATTCCATTCATCTTTGCACCTCTTTCTTTAAGAAGTATCAACATGTCTAAATCACAGTTTTTCGCTGCATAATAATAAACATTTTTATCAGTATAAGTTTTCAAATTCAAATCAACACCAATGTCAATTAAATACTTGCAAACATCATATAAACAGAACTTAACAGCTTGAATGACCGTATTTTCTCCATTCCCGAATAATCCACCTGTTATTCCATTCATGTCTGCATTTGAATTTTGAAGAATTTTTACAAATTCTAAGTTATTTCCATTGACAGCGTAATTTATTGGTTGGTCACCGAATCTTTGCGACTTTTTGGTGACGATTTCTGGTCCGCCTTTTTCTATAAGATATTTAACAAGTTCTTTGCTGCCGGCTGACATTGAACAAACTAAAGGAGTTCGAAGTTTTCCGTTCATTATTCCTAAATTTTTGTTTTCAATGAAATACTTGACGAGTTGGTACCTTGAGTATCTCGCTGATAGATGTATCATGTTTAGATTGCGATCATCTTCATGATAAGCGTCTGCTTGGCAATTTTCAATGACAAATTTAATAAAATTTAATGATAAGTGGCGAACACCGAAGTTTAATGGGTTTCTACCACGATTATCAATAGAATTGATGTCTCCAATCTTGTTTATTATCATGTAATATATCAATTCGACGTTTGAAAATTTAAATGCGGAAATCATCGAAGGAAAATCGGTAGTTTTGTCCAAAAGCCACTTAATTATACTATTTCTATGATATTCTGCAGCTCCTTTTAAGCAGCCATCGTAAAAACAACCTGCATCTTCACAATAATCAATAATTTTGAAATTTCCGCCATTAATAGCAAATTTTGCAACGGAATTATCAATATCTGTACCATTCATTATCATGTAATCAAAACAATTATATGCTCCGCTCAAAGCAGCAAAAGATATCGGAGATATTTTGTAAGAAATGTGACCCGTTTTAAAAACGTTAGTCGGAAGTATTTCTTCTGAATAATTTGGATGTTTCTGTATGTATTCAATGAATTCTGGAAGTAAATCGTTTTGTAGAATATATTGTAATGAATCTTCGGAATATCCGTACTTAACATAGTCTGAATCATAGTCAATGTATATTTCTCTGAAGTGCCGACAAAAATCTAGAGGCAAATACTCTTTAAAAGGAAAATTTGAAATATCTGTGCCTAAATTTAAGAGTCCAATGATTTCTTTAATAGTAAAAACTCCATATTGATACAATTTACGTACAAATGGGATTGAAGATCTTGAAGTTACAAAAGCTCCGATTGTTGAACCAGTTTTTACATGGATTTTGAAGAAAAGATTAGCTAATAATTCAAATTTTTCTGGCCTGAATAAAGATAGCTTAGCAATGAACTGGTATATCCAGTTAAAATCGTCGGTAAAATTTTCACAAATAAATTTGAGGGCATCTGGCAATGTTTCCTCTGTTATATCATCAACAATACGCTGAAATTTGATATCTGGTTCTATTTCTGGTGGAATACCAGATTCCACCAATATAGAATTTAAATTTTCGATTGACAAATGGCACTTTTATATTGATATTATCCTAAGTTTATCTGTTGATATCACGTGATCATATTTTTATTGATATAAGTACTATTTCAAGTTTAAATATGCCAACGAAATTTATTCCAATTTGAACCATTATTTGTTACAAAAATTTTTAATGTTGTGCTCCTACATTACGTATTTATAGTTTATTGAGCTATAACTAAAACATATAAATTTATTTATTAATTTTTTACTTGATAGGTTAATAATAGTTTTAAAAAGCAACACATATACAACTAGTGAAATTATTTCTCTTGATCACGTTTCTTCTCGGCGCGCTCTGCATCTGTGAAAACCGTCTTTTTGAGAGATTTGTTAGCACAGAATGAGCTTGCAATAGCTTTATCGCGCGATGTAAGAGATGTGAAGTCTAAAGAATTCAAGTTTGGAAGAACAGAGATAATATAATTTCTATATTTAAGTCTTCCACGATCTTCTATTGGATTTCCATGTAATGTGAGATCGCGGAGATTTTCAAGTTCAACAAGCTTGTTAACATCTAAAATATCGGATATTTTGTTTGCATGTAAATGAAGTTTAACTAAGCCTCTCAATCTACCAATTGTCGGCTCAATTGTTTGTAGCTGATTGAATGATAAGTCGAGCCATTGAATTTGGGTGATTTCAACCATGCTACGAAGAGAAGTAATAAAGTTAACCCAACCAGAAATTTTGTTGTTATTGAGTCTGATGGAATTAATTACGACGTTGTCTTTTCCGTATTTTTTAACGAGTTTTTGCGTTTCTTGAGCGTTTTGATTCTCTTCTATCTTCATTTCGCTGAATTCACGAAGTTCACGCATTGAGAGATCAATCGGTGGGGCTGTAATGGTTGCATAACTGGCAGCAATGGATGATACATGACGAGCTTTTCCTGGATTAGTCATTATACGTTATTTGTCACGTTTTTCCCTTTTATGGAATTCGTCTATAATGCCTTGGATACCAACTTTGCAGATCTTCGATCCGTAAAGTTGGCACCTTCCATTTTGATATTAAAAAGAATATTATTAAATGGCTAAAAAAGAGAATTAGACCTCAAATTTTAAAATCGGGTTATTTTGGATTCTTTCGCTTTGGGATGGCGCTTTGCACCCTCTCAAAGCGATAAAAGTACCAAAACAAGTATTTGAGGCAATCTGATATCAGCAAAAAAAAAGACTTGTAAACGAGAAAGGGACAGACTAGCCCATTGTCACTTTTTAATTTAGCAAATGAACGCTTATGGAGTGGAGTTTTTGGGTAAATCTGATTTGCTTATAAATGAAATAAAATCAAAAGAAACCATATTGGCATTATATTATGCAAAAATAAATGATCTTACTTAGTACTTTTAAAGTTAATTTCAGAAAAAATTTGACACAATGGTATCCGGCACATACAAGTGGTGTACAACCAAAATATAAGTTGGTTTAAACATATATTGCTATATCTCATGATCTTACTTAGTACTTTTAAAGTTAATTTCAGAAAAAATTTGACACAATGGTATCCGGCACATACAAGTGGTGTACAACCAAAATATAAGTTGGTTTAAACATATATTGCTATATCTCATGATCTTACTTAGTACTTTTAAAGTTAATTTCAGAAAAAATTTGACACAATGGTATCCGGCACATACAAGTGGTGTACAACCAAAATATAAGTTGGTTTAAACATATATTGCTATATCTCATGATCTTACTTAGTACTTTTAAAGTTAATTTCAGAAAAAATTTGACACAATGGTATCCGGCACATACAAGTGGTGTACAACCAAAATATAAGTTGGTTTAAACATATATTGCTATATCTCATGATCTTACTTAGTACTTTTAAAGTTAATTTCAGAAAAAATTTGACACAATGGTATCCGGCACATACAAGTGGTGTACAACCAAAATTTCATATACCTAGTTTTACATTTATGTTTAGTTTTATTTCACCTAATTTTCAAAGATCATAATTGAATTAGATGGCCAAGCTATTCAAAACACGACCAAGCTTATCAAAATAAGACCAATATATTCAAAATTCTTTATTCTTTCAAATCATTTCATTTTAATGCAGATCCAAGATCACGAACTCACATATATCGAGTTGCTTAAGTATGGAGTGCAACAAGAAATCCAAGCAGGTTGTAGTTATTCATATAAAACTAGGAAAGAAAGAAATCAAATCCAATTTAATTGTAAGTGGCTGAATTGTCCATGTCGCTTCCTTGTTGATACACTTCCCGATGACAAGTACCACATACGAAAATGTATTAACACCCACAATCATTCTGCCCCTTTTCCAAACAAATCACAACAAATTACATCATATAGGGTGTCCAAAGGTGTGTTTAGCACAAACCTGAATACTGCGAATAGAAATAAACAAGTTACATATATATAAAGTTTATTTAAATATAATCACCATTGGATTCAATCACGCGTTCGCAGCGATCGATCCAGGCTTGAAAGACACGCTTTAAATCATCATGAGAAAATTGCTCAAATTGCTCTCTTACAAAATTTTCAAGATCATCTGGACTCGCGAATTCGCGTCCTTCAGCTCTCTTTTTAGCGTGCCGAATAAATAAAAGTCAGAGGTGCAATATCAGGTGAATAAATTGGGTTTGGAACAACTTTGACATTGTTTTCCACCAAGTAATTCATTACCTTATGACTTTTGTGAACTCTTGAATTATCAAAATGAATTGCAAACTTTTGTTTTTGTTGTTTGGATTTCTCAAACTCATCAGAATTGATAATTTGAGTAAGAACATTGTCAATTAGATACTGAGCATTCATCGTATTAGGTTTTTGAAGAATATCAATTGCGATGATGCCATTCACGCCCCAAAAACCGACAACATCATCATTGGTGTGTCAATTTTTTTCTTCGGGAATGTTTGCGGATTTTCATCCTTCGGGATCCACATGATTTTGGCTTCTGTTGCATATTGAAACCAAGACTCGTCCCCTGCTACTAAAAAGCGAAACTTCTTGGATTGATACGCACCCAATATAGAGAGGAGCTCTTTCGAAGATTGGACTCTAGATTTTTTTTGAACTGAATTAAGGTTGTGCGGAACCCAACGTGTATACGCTAGTTTGTAGTTCAAATAATTGTGCAAATAATAACTGACTGTTGTACGTGGTATCTTTGTCATCTCCTCTATCCTTCTGAGTGATGCTCTTGGGTCTTCATCTAGCGCTTGAAGAATTGCTTTGATTTTTCTTTGATCCGGCGATTTTTTGTCAATTTTTATGATGGGCGCCTTTTTGTTCATGAAGTGATACATCCTAACATGATACGTTACAGTGGAATAGCTAGGAGCATCCATACCGAAGCATTTTACCAATGTCTCGTAGATTTTTTTACAGTCTTTGCATTTTTTTGCAAGAGCGAGGATGTTTTCTTTATGATTCATTAAAAAAATGAAAAAAATCCCGCCAAAATTTCCCGCGAAACCGCCTCTTGTCTCAAAATTCATTTTATATCCCGGCATGGCGCCAAAATACAACATACTCATCATATACATATATTCATATTTTTTATTATATATTTATAATCAGCATATATCTCCTTTAATAGTCTCATATAGAGCGCTGTGCTAAACGCACCTTTGGACACCCTATATTTTTATAGATCTTATTTAACAAGATATTTTGAATCAAATCAAGACCGTGTTTACGCACAATTAAGGTGTTTCAAAGATCTTAATATCCCATTTGATAGTGGGATCATTCCGGAAATGTTTCAACAATCTACAGATGCTTTAAAAAAGTTTTCTAAACGCCTTCATGCAATCAATACCCGTTTCTCAGCGGATGATGTTACATCTCTTACAATTTTTGTCGACATGGTTAAGAGTCATTCTCCGGATGATCTCATCGAGTTTATTCACGAGCCAGATCGTATGATTTTCTATTACGCCCCATTCGAAGCAAATGCTTTTTCACATCAAATACAAATTTATCACATTGATTCCACTTATAAGCTCTTGCGCTCTCGCATACCATTTTATGCCGTCACTGGCAAATTCGCGGAATCAATTGTTTTTCCGTTTTTGTATTTTTTCGTTTGGCCCGACACAAGTGAAAATATACAAGTTTGTCTCACAGCATATTTTGGCTCCATCAATCGCGAACCATCTTATTTTTCAATGGACTGCGCACCTCAAATCACAAATGCTGTTGAAACAGCCATCCCCTTATGCCAGATCATTTGGTGTGGCGTTCATGTGTTGCGCGCTGTCATGAGAAAGGCTGAAAAGTTTCAAGATCGTTCCAACTTCGAAACTTTCTATAACTTAATGAAGTTATTGGTCTTTGGTTCTGAAGAGGAAGAAATTGATCCTGATGAAGTTTACAACAATTTAGAAGAAATTTTAAATGAGGAACCTGCTGCCCGTGAATACTTTGACCGACAGTGGCGCCATCATCTTGACAGGTGGATGCTTCGCTATAGAAATGAAGGAGATGGAACAAACAACATCTCAGAATCACATTTCAAGGTTTTGAAGCACCAGTACTTCCCAGAAAGGCGAAATCTTCGACTCGATGAACTTGTCATCGAGTTATATTCCAGTGTTGTTCCTTCATTCCTGATTAAGTTGCAAATTAAAGGTCTGAATTCAGAGAGAAGTGTTAAAGTTATCAAAAAAGTCACAAGAGATTTCGAAGAAATGACACAATTTAAAAAAGTCGAATGCATCAGTATGCTTGAAGCTGTTCAGAAAGGTCTGAAAAATGATACACTTGATCCCAACATTGTTTACTCAACATTAAAAATATTATTGCAAAGAAGAGTGGGGGACAAACTCGCCCATTGTCACTTTTTATTAACCTTAAACTTGTAATTTTCATTATTTTTAATTAACCTTATTTCTTTCCTAATTCCTGATTTATTTTATTCACTTACTATTAAAAGTCACATTTTAATAAAATATAATAATTTATTTATAGCATTTTTTACTATACTGTAATAAAAAATTAATTATAATAAATTAAATGTTTATTAAATCAAATGTTTTCTTTGCAATAATATTTTTAATGTTGAGTAAACAATGTTGGGATCAAGTGTATCATTTTTCAGACCTTTCTGAACAGCTTCAAGCATACTGATGCATTCGACTTTTTTAAATTGTGTCATTTCTTCGAAATCTCTTGTGACTTTTTTGATAACTTTAACACTTCTCTCTGAATTCAGACCTTTAATTTGCAACTTAATCAGGAATGAAGGAACAACACTGGAATATAACTCGATGACAAGTTCATCGAGTCGAAGATTTCGCCTTTCTGGGAAGTACTGGTGCTTCAAAACCTTGAAATGTGATTCCGAGAAGTTAAATCCGAAAAATTGTATTATCTCATCCTTTGTGTATGCCTGTTTTATGATTCTTTGTTGTTTTATCGTATTGGCAGAAATCGACTTTTTGAGAAGAACTCATATAATTAATTGTATGACTTCTCTCAAAAACCAGAAATGAAAAGGCCGACAAAAATTGACTGTTCACATGTTAGGAGAAAAAACCAGAATTTTCGAAAAAGTGACACCAACTATTAAAGTTATTTTATTACTAGATTTATTTACAAATTATAAGATAATATCATTAACCGAATATATTTTTAATATAAATAAAAAACTTTTTTATACAAAAAATTACAATCAATCGATAAATATTATAAAACATTTATTCCAAAAAGATTAAGTAATAGGTGGGATCCTGCATATAATATAATTTTATGTCATAAAGTTTACAAATTTTAGATGGACCACAGTGAGAATGTGAGTGGTTAATTTAAAGGTGGTCTGATAAAGATATCGAAGTTTACTCAACACAGCATGAAGCAGTTTCTAATACACAATCTTACTAGTGGTGTTTCGGTCGCCAGCGCTCTCATAGGGTGCTGATTTCAAAAACCACTACTTCAAATTATTCAACAATACTCAATGCAGCATGAAGCAGCTACTACTGCTGTATCTTACTGGTAGTGTTTTGGTCGTTGGCTCTTGCACAGTCTCTCAGATTTTCAAAATTTTTTTTCAACACTATCTTGTTTCGCTCTCAGAAAGCTATCCTACAAAGACATCGAAGCTTACTCAACACAGCATGAAGTAGTTTCTAATACACAATCTTACTAGTGGTGTTTCGGTCGCCAGCGCTCTCATAGGGGTGCTGATTTCAAAAACCACTACTTCAAATTATTCAACAATACTCAATGCAGCATGAAGCAGCTACTACTGCTGTATCTTACTGGTAGTGTTTTGGTCGTTGGCTCTTGCACAGTCTCTCAGATTTTCAAAATTTTTTTTTCAACACTATCTTGTTTCGCTCTCAGAAAGCTATCCTACAAAGACATCGAAGCTTACTCAACACAGCATGAAGCAGTTTCTAATACACAATCTTACTAGTGGTGTTTCGGTCGCCAGCGCTCTCATAGGGGTGCTGATTTCAAAAACCACTACTTCAAATTATTCAACAATACTCAATGCAGCATGAAGCAGCTACTACTGCTGTATCTTACTGGTAGTGTTTTGGTCGTTGGCTCTTGCACAGTCTCTCAGATTTTCAAAATTTTTTTTCAACACTATCTTGTTTCGCTCTCAGAAAGCTATCCTACAAAGACATCGAAGCTTACTCAACACAGCATGAAGCAGTTTCTAATACACAATCTTACTAGTGGTGTTTCGGTCGCCAGCGCTCTCATAGGGGTGCTGATTTCAAAAACCACTACTTCAAATTATTCAACAATACTCAATGCAGCATGAAGCAGCTACTACTGCTGTATCTTACTGGTAGTGTTCTTCGCTTCTTACTATCAACTCTAAAACTAGTTTGATGTATTATTTATTCAATATTAACCTTAATTATTTACAATTCTCACTTTTTTCATTTTTTAAATGAATCAATCCGTTCCTGCACCCCTTGCTGATACAAAACAATATATTGATTTCATTCATTATCTTCAATATGGAGTTCAAGCAGAGATGCGTGCTAACTGCAATTATCGGAAAGATTCGCATTTGAATTCAGATGGAGTAACAATTATTAGACATTACTGTAGATGGGGAAGTTGTAGTGCTAACTTTACCTTTGAAATGAAATCTAATCAATACAGATTTGTAAATGGACATCATTTTCATAATCATGTTGGTGAACCACCGTCTTTTAAATATATACATATATAAATATATACATATATAAATATATACATATATAAATATACATATATAAATATACATATATAAATATACATATATAAATATATACATATATAAATATACATATATAAATATACATATATAAATATACATATATAAATATACATATATAAATATACATATATAAATATACATATATAAATATACATATATAAATATACATATATAAATATACATATATAAATATACATATATAAATATACATATATAAATATACATATATAAATATACATATATAAATATACATATATAAATATACATATATAAATATACATATATAAATATACATATATAAATATACATATATAAATATACATATATAAATATACATATATAAATATACATATATAAATATACATATATAAATATACATATATAAATATACATATATAAATATACATATATAAATATACATATATAAATATACATATATAAATATACATATATAAATATACATATATAAATATACATATATAAATATACATATATAAATATACATATATAAATATACATATATAAATATACATATATAAATATACATATATATATACATATATAAATATACATATATAAATATACATATATAAATATATACATATATAAATATACATATATAAATATACATATATAAATATACATATATAAATATACATATATAAATATACATATATAAATATACATATATAAATATACATATATAAATATACATATATAAATATACATATATAAATATACATATATAAATATACATATATAAATATACATATATAAATATACATATATAAATATACATATATAAATATACATATATAAATATACATATATAAATATACATATATAAATATACATATATAAATATACATATATAAATATACATATATAAATATACATATATAAATATACATATATAAATATATTTATATATATAAATATATAAATAACAAAATACAATCAAAAATAGTGTTTGAAAAATTAAGGTTAAGTGTCACTTTTCTATTGTCACTTTTTCGTAAATTCTACCACACTCCTCATATAATTAATTGTATGACTTCTCTCAAAAACCAGAAATGAAAAAGCCGACAAAAATTGACTGTTCACATGTTAGGATTCCTCTCTTCGTTCATTTGGTACTACGTTATGCCGATAAATATTTTTGCTTTCACATCATTATGTCATAGTGATGCATGCTGGCTTTTCAAAATTAAGCGATTTCTAATATCAATTTTCAATTTGATTACTCAAATAACATGGAGTCTAACATTTTTTTCTATCTTACCATTCAAAGATATGTTCCTTGTTTCCAACTATTCAAAATGGCTAGCTTTATTTTTTAATTTTTTTTTCGGATTTCTTGGATATTTCGTAACTAGCTCGCCAAATCCGCCTGCTAAAGCCAATCAATCAAAAATCCAAGAGATATACTATAGATACATTCATATCGAGTCAATTGTAATTTCTTCCATTCTTACAATTGTAATAGCTTTTTTCAAAAACGTTTATGATTCTGTTGGATCATTATATGAGGATCAATTTTATCAATTAATTGGTCAAGGTAATGAATATGCAAATAATTTTCCAATTATTTTCTCATTTATATTAAACTATGCATTACCATGTATCATACCATCAGCATTATTTATGTATTCGATTCATTATTACACGCAACATGAATTCCAAATAAAACACTTTTCAAAATCTTTCAGAATTTCATTTCGAATACTTCCTTTGTTTTATCTTATATCTGCATTTTACATTTATTCTATTCTTGTCAAACCAGTACCCGGATCAGATCCAAACTCACTTCTTTTTGATAACTTAGTTGTTCCTGAAAACGAATTATTAACTTTCCCTAAACATAAGAAAAATATAATTTATCTTTCTCTTGAATCTCTTGATACAGTTGTTTTTCATGAAACTGTTGGTGGTTGCTTTGATAGAGAAATAATTCCATTTATGGAAGAATTGGCATTAGATAAAGTGAATGTTCACTTTTCGCATATGAAATATCCGGATCTTGGTGGAATGTCAATTCCTCCTCGTCTTGATTTTACACTTGCAAGTGCATTCGGTGCTTTATGTGGCGTTCCTTATATGGGAAAGAACCAGTGGAATGATCATTATGATGGTTTTTTGAATAATCTTAATTGCTTGGGCGAACTATTGGAATTAAATGGATATATTACATCAGCAACATTTGGTACAGGAAAAGGAGATTTTGGATATGGCCATGTATTTGATTTGCATCATTTCCAACGCATATTCTCAAACAGAGAAATTATGGGTACTACTCAATGGATTGAAGATAAGCATATTTATAAGTTTTTCAAAAAAGAACTCAAATATCTTTCGGATACACATCAACCTTTCATGGCATTTATGTGTACATTGGATACACATGAACCAGGTCATATCTGCAGCTTATGTCCCAATACTCAAAGTGATCCAGCTACTAAATCAATAGAATGCGCAGATCGTCAGCTTAAAAGTTTCTTGGAATGGGCGCAGACGCAAGAATGGTATAACAACACAGTGTTTTTGATTTACGGTGATCATATCTCAAGAGATAAGAATTTCAAGAAAATGGCAAAAGAACATAATTACGTCAAAAAATCATATAATGTTATTCTAAATTCAAAAAGAAAGGCGAAAAGAACTCATGAAAGAAATTTTACTGTATTTGATTTATTGCCAACTGTATTGAATGCAGCAGGAATTCAGATTAGAGGTAACCAAATAGGAATGGGAATAAGCCTATTTTCAAAATTGCCGACTCTTCTTGAAAGATATGGAGAGAAATTTGAAGAAAGTTTTAACCAAATCTCATTTTGGTATGATACTGTAGTAAATCATAAATCAATAAAATGCGAAGAGAACATCCCTTGCATTAGTTTAGGTAATTATTCAACAGAAACTACATATGCAAATTTAACAGCAGAATACCAATAGTTGATAAATCCAAAAATTCAATATTTTAGCTTTTCTGAGGTGTCACTTTTGATGAATTTCTGTTTACAACAGTATACCTCATAAGGAACAATTCCCTCCTTAAAATCGTAGACATTTTTATACTTATTAATCAACCATTCAAAATCATATTCCTCTGAAAAGTTATTTTATTAAAAATTTAGAATTTTAATAAATATAGAGTTTGAATTTCATACAATACCTATATATTTTCAATAATGGAATTTGAAAACCATTCTCAAAAGTTCTCAGAAAACCTTTTTTTCATTAATTTTAAGAAATCTGAGTATTAAATTAAGTGTTAAATTCGTTTGACACTACTTTAATTTTTAAATTCAAAAAATTATATGTGCTTCTTAAAATGACTCAAAAAAAATTTATTATAAAATAATATATAATATTAAAAATCCCACAACATTTTTTTACTTTACATAATCGTACTTCCTCGACGATTAATTTCCACTCAATTTCTATCGTTGACCGAACTTAGCATGCAACAATATTATAATAAATTTAGATTATTTTTAAATGTTAAAATTATTTTAGAGGAATTAATGATCATTGAAGATGTATTCCTCATAAACATTTTTTAATCGAGAAAATAAGAAGGTTTTAGGGCTGAGGTAATTTCAATATTATATTGAATTATTCATTTGAATTCAATTCAGCAATATTTAGATTTACAAATACATTACATATATGAAATAAGATACATGTAGAGTTCATTTTCATTAAAAAATTGAAAATAGCAAGATTTGGAATATTGTATTAGTGATAAACTTGATTTTATTCAAAAATAACCTGAATATAAGGAGTAGATGCTTCAAGTTTACATTCGACTTTAAGAATAAAAGGGATACTCACTAGAATTGCAGACAAAATCCTCAATTTATTTTGAATTAACGTTTAATTTTTCGAGATTTTAGAATTAATTCCATGAATAAAAGCCTAGATCCGTCATTTTTAATAAGCAAACTAGTCGCAAAGTATAGACCTGGTGATTTAAAAGCATTACGAAATGCTATTGATATAATCAAATCATACCCAAATACGATTTCAGCAAAAAATAATACATTTTATTTAAAAGAATGGATGAAAATTACAAAATCTAAAGGTGAAGAGCAGCAAGTACAAAATTTAAAGAAAGATGTCGACTTTTTAGCTAAAAATCTTATTAGATCTCCACAATTATTTCAATTTCTTTATCACTTTACTCAAAAATCAGAAAATAAAGAACAACAACCGCAACTATTTACCGACGAGCATGAAATTCCATTAAGTTTCATATACGTTTTACAAGGAGTGAATTGCAGATCTTTTGAATGGAGCGATTCAAGAGAGAGGTTCGTTCTTTTAGAAAAAATACCACCAAATTTATACATTCCTGCTCAAATTGTTTCTCAAATCGGATCAATGGTAAAAATGATTCGCGATTATATTGAAAGACGTCGTTGTCTCACCCAAATTAAGATCAGTGCTGTTCTCAAAAGTCTATTAGTTGACTATTTACTATACATTTCGTCAATTGAACAAATGTATTCTGATCTCACAATTTCTCAGTTTCTTTTTCTCTTAAACAACAGGCAAATCGATATAATTAAGTCAGCAGCAATTATCATTAATACAATCAAACTCGAAAGTGGCGGTATTCTTGTAAACCGCTTAATGGAAATCGAAAAACATGGAGATGAATTAATTAAAATAGTTGCAAACAAATTTAGAAATGCAGCATTTGAAGTAATAGAGAAAATGAGCATTGATTGGTCTACAAAGGGAAGAGTTGATGATCCATTCGGCGAATTCTTCGTAAAGACAAGGGCAAAGGCAACAACACCAGGAGAATGGTGGAGTGATCTTTATTACTTGTCAGAATTAGAAGTTCCAAAATCAATGTTGAAATCATCTGTTGGAAATGTTTTTTCATCAGGACTTTGCTTGAATTTCGTTCGCCAATGGGAAGAGAACATAGAACTTGATATTGAAGCAGAAAACTTTGATGCTTTAGTTAAAAAGGCTTCAGAAATTTCGAATTCTCATATGATGACTTTATTCATTGATCATGAAAAAATCATTTCAAGACTTAATGATGCAGTTGATTTTGTTCTTTTCAGGAGAGGAGATTTCGCAACAGTTCTACTTGAAAATTCAGCAAATGCTGAGAAAAGATTACCTCTTATACTCCATGACTACATTGGAAGGAAATGTCCTGATCTTAAATACCTCGAATTTGGCGGAGAAGGTTCTCGTTTAAGATACGAGCCGCAGGGAATTTCATGTGTTTTATTCACATCAAATTTCAATGATGTTTATGAAGCTGCATCTGCTTTGTTGTTAAGAGTTAGACGTGCACAATTTGCAATATCTCGTGTAGGAAGGTATGAAAAAGGATTTTCTCAGGGAGTTCTTTTATTTGAAATGCTTGCTTTGTGTAATACAATTTCAATGTATTTCAACTTGTCAATAGTTTCTAAAACAGCTATAGTTATGGATAAGATCAAGAAGGCGAAGGAATTTGCTGAAATTGTTAAAGCATTCGAGAAGAATTCAACAGATATAATTGAAAGTTGTTGGATTTCAGCTGCCAACAGATCATTAAGAGATAAATTATATATGCTCATGACAACAGTTGAAGAGGCCACAATTTTACCACGCGATGTTGAGAAAAACAGAAATTCATTTTATAGCTCATTGAAAGAGTTTTGCAAGCTACTTGCAACTAAAGACGGAAATGCTAAAATACTATATCGACAAATATATCAAGTATTTCCAACTATTTTGATGAAATTAACAGAATAATTTGATTTTATATGTTATTTGTTTTTGTAAATATTATATTCAAATATTTTCGGACTTTCTTATATGCATTCTAAATGCATGATACAAATTAGATGATATTGAAAATATAGAATCATCAAAAGTATGAAATCACCAGCCATCATATAAAGAACTGATATAAGTTGGTTGAGTCTATAGTAATTTCATAGTGCTTTTATATCAAATACTCATATTTCAGATATTGGATATATTTGAACAAAATGAAAATAAAGAACCAGTTATTTTTTACTGACATATCATTTACATCATAGAGAGTATATTCGTATTACTAAATTAGAGTTAAAAATAGAATGGTCGAGTGAAATCCTCGCCCAGCTACTTATGAAAATAATCAACAAAATCAGCTTTTTGTTAATAGTAGAATACAAATATAATGTTTCGGACTTAAAACAAAAATTTTAAACCGTCACCAAAAATAAATGACTATGTCACTTGGCGAACGCTTTTCATACCTTAGACAAGAGCTCAAGGAGCTCCAAGCTAAGGAAATTCAACTTGAATTAGATCTCCAGCGGCACGAGCGTGTTTTAGAAACAATCGCCAATCTTGAACCAGGACGTAAATGCTTCCGCCTTGTCGGTGAAGTACTCGTTCAGAGCACAGTTGGAGAAGTTCGCCCAACACTCAAAGAACAGATAGAAAACTTGAAGGAGGCTGTTGCTCAATACACCCAAAATGTTGAACTTAAGGAAAAAGAAATCCAGAAATTCCAGGAAGACAACAAGATTCAATTCGCATCAGTTAATCAACTTCAAGAGCGTGCTAAAGAAAATTAAAGGGTATTATATAATATAAATTACATAAAGCTACCTTTTTGTTAATTACTCCAATATTTATGCATGACATTAATGAAATCTTTGAACTTATTCATATATTTACATTAGCCATCTATCATTTGCTGAATATTTCCTTTTTTATAGAAATCTAACCTGAATCTTTGTAAATTAACTATAGTGTGGCTAAGATGAACTAGTTGTGACCCATAAACATATGAACTTCCAATCAATAAAAAATTTGAAATAAGTTTTCTCTGAAATCAGGAAATTCTTAATCTATCTTATGAGTGGTTATTATTTTTGCTAATTTTAGAAAACCTTTTTTCAAGCGATTATTTTTCTTTCAAATTTTCTAATAATGTCACACATTCGAGCTAGAGTCAATGCAAAATTAAGTTCTATTGTTCTTGATGCTCTAAGAGAGGCAGGACTGCCTTATTCATTCACTGACTCGAATGCAATGGTTAATTGGGTTGAACCGAGTTATAACTTTTTAAATAAATCATTAGCAAGTAGATCATTATATGCTGTCACAAACCAAATCACAGGAATAGGAATATTATATTCAGGCTCTGTTTTTTCAAGATTATATCAAAAATTTTCTAGAATTCTTCCAGATATTTATGATTATTTACCTCCCACTTACGTTTTACCATACCAAAATATGGATTTCATGAAGAAAATAAAGAAAAACGGTCGAGATAAATTTATTTACAGATCTGACCCAAAAAACAATGAGCCAGGACAAATTCTTTTTAATCCACCAGATTATATAATCATGAGTGATGACTCTGCAATTGGCCAAAAGAAGATAAATAGCATAAGTATCGATTGTCAAGAAATTAAAATTTCTGCATTTGTTTTAATCGCATCAGTATCACCATTAGCAATATTTGTTTACAGAGACGGCATTGTACATTATTGCAACACAAATGAAGAACTTTATAACGATACAATTGATAAAAACAGTAGATTCCAACCATTATCCGAACTTTTTGAGCGTATTGAAAACGAATACTCTATCAAAGAAGCAAAATTATGGGATAATCTTCATAGAATCGTTGTTTCTTCGATATTATTGTGTTATCCGTACTTTAAACCATATAATACGGAAAGTTATCCATATAGTCACAATTTCCAATTGCTACAATTTGATTTTCTCATGGATACAAATTGGAAATTTTATTTGAACAAAATTGAACCAGTTATTTCATCATCACACATTAATATACAAGAATACCTACTCAAAGTCAAGTTTGTTCGCGACGGAATCCTTGCAGCTCTTCCGATTCCGGAAATCCAACATATTTTTGATTCCAGAAGAAACTGGTGGAAGAAAACAGATGCAAAAACAACTGGAACAACTGATATTTCTTATGGAGAAACAATTTGGCTGGAATTTATACAAAATAATCCACAAATCGAAAATTACCAAGCACAATTCTTAAAATCAGATAAGAAATATGCCAATTTCAAGCTTGCTTATCCATCTAATAAAAATAAAGAAAAATATTCAAATATTCTTCAAACCATTGCTTCTGTTCCATTAGAGATCATCAAGAAATAATGGGATCAATGCATACATGAGATTTTATCTTTAGTTGTGTTTATTATTGTAATAAAAAATTGTTATGTTGTTCATTTTTTCATTTATCGCTAATATATTAGAGAACTATCTAACTAATGAGTAATATTGTCAAGATTATGCTGAAATCCATTTGATCAAAATTTTATTTTTGCTATCAACGATAATAAATCAAAAAACTTTATATAAACAACATTACTATCAAAAATAATATTGATTGACATTCTATACAATATGAATAATGACTTCCTTATTACGATATTTAACAATATAATGAATGAATCCAATGTAAATAATTTCATTCACGCATCATGTAGATTGATATATAGATTAACTCCTTTGACTAATTGTATTAAATATTTTTTTTATTGAGCACAGAATCAATGCGAGGCTGAATGGTATAGATCAATAGAGATAGGTAATCACATTATTCAATAGCACATCATCCATTTGTGGTCAAAGGAATCTCATCCAATTGAATCATTCAAAAATAAATTATTTTCGTGAATTCCGGGATGACAAATCACATGTATTTTCATAAATAAAAAATAGATAAAATTATCCTGCATCATGAGAAAGGGCAATTTTTTTACCCATTATCCTTGTCATTCGTTCTTGATGCAATTTTTCCAGTGGGCAGACAAAACTTTATCGCAAAATAAAGTAATACCATTTCCCGAGGAAGGTCTTGCATATCTAGAACGTCCTCCGCCAAGTGATCCTGTATTAAGTAAGTTTCATGAACAATTAGTAAAATTTATCAAACAATTGATTCCTACAAAAGCAGATGTAAACGTTAGACAGTATATAGTTGACCAAATTTGTGATAAAATTAAGAAATCATTGCCATGCCCTAAAGATAATAAATTAATCGTTTTACCATGCGGTAGCTGCATGAGTGGTACATTCCTTCCAAACGCCGATATAGATTTTGCAATTTTCTACTACCCAATTCCATGCAATCCTGTTAATATAATGCAACAACTACAGACTTCACTTGCAGAGTTTGCTTTAGATGGATTTAATCCCCTTCCGCAAGCAAAAGTACCTGTGCTTAAATTCATGACCAATCCAGGCATTTCTATCGATATATCTTTTGATGAATTGCACGGACCATTATGTGTACAGACAATTAGAGAAATATTTAGAACTATACCATGCATTCTTCCAGCACAAATATTTTTGAAGGCAATGCTGAGAAGAAACAAACTTGATCAACCATTTTTAGGCGGAATAAGTTCTTATACACTACAGTTAATGATTTTAGCTTACGTTCAATACGCTGGCGAACCAGATAATATTACTGATCTTATAGTTGGTTTTTGCAATTTTTATGGAAATATATTTAATTTTACGCTTACAGGAATAGACGTTACAGAAGGCGGGCAATTCTTTTCTCGCGCTGAAGAGAATAAGCTGTCTCCGGACACTCCATCAGCAATGTATATACAAGATCCGCTGAATAGTAACAATGTCCTTGGTCACAACGCGTTTAAGATGAATGAAATTAGAGAAGAACTCAGAGTGGCCCACCAACAGGTTATTTCCGGCAACGGAGAAGAATTAATTAATACTTTGTTAGGAGAAATTATAGAAATACATACAATACACGACGTGATACGCGAGTATGCAATGGATAAGGATATTTCACTCGAATAGAGATTATATATTATGTGTATTGAATTGTTATGAACTTAAAAATTTTATATATTATTTTGTCATCAATAAATTTTTAATATGATTTTATAACTAACAAAATCTTACATTAGACTTGAGTATTTTCATCAACAATAATTTTTTTTGTTAATTATTTCTTTGGATCAACTTTTGGACCACTGAATTTGCAATATATATACTAGCTGTTATCAATTCCAAACTAACAACCTTGATTATTTAAAAAGATATCCTTAAAAAATTTCAATTTCTTTCAATAAGATCTTATATTAACTTGAGATATGCATATCACATGGATGGTTAGATTACTGTTCCTAAATAGGACATTTTGATTCTCTGTTAATGAATGTTAAGATCGAATCATCAAATAAGCGATATCCGGACTTACGGTAATATTGCATCTAGATAAATCATTCAAAATCCAGTTAATGCCATATTGAAGCTTGAAAATAGCTAAAATTTGATGATATCACTCTTAAAATCAATGAGAATTAGGAAAATTCATATTAACCCTTAATATACAATTGTAGTAGAACTATATGTTAAATAAAAATTCGATGATGTTGTTTTTCGTTTTTTTCTCAAATTGTAAACGATAAAAAAAGCTTTATCAAGAATGAACGAAGAAATACAACAAATCGTTGACAGAAACGCAACTCTTGAGGCAGAAAATGCATATTTATATCAGACAATCCGTGATCTAACTGCGGAATTAACTGTTTTTAAGGCTTCGCACTCGAAATTTCGGGAAGATTGCATGAAATACATTCAATCATTAACAACAAGTTCAATATCTCCTTCAAAGGAAATGAATCAAAAAGTTTTTAAATTCACAAGAGAAATTGAAATCCTCAAATCACAATTAATCACATCAGAAAAGAAAAATCAAAGTCTTACAACAGAAAACGAAAAAATCATTCAAGAAAAAGAAGAATTAGATAAAACTCTACAAGAAACGAACAATTCTGCTTTACAAAATAAACAAATGTGCAATGAAATACTTCATTCACTTCTAAGCTTAGAAAATACAATGAAAGAAAAAGAAATTGGTACAGACTTATCAGAATCATTTCAAAATATTACAAATGATATTGATGATCTTACGATTTCGCAACAATTACATTTAATGCAGTCAACAATAGAATCAATTTCTCTAAACATTGCACAAACTAAAGAAGTAAGAGTTGTAGATAAAAAAGAATTCGAAGCCAAAGATCAAACTATTAGAGATCTTCAAACTCGAATTGAAGTTCTTCAACATAGAGCCGATGCAATTGATGAGTGCAATGCAAACTATATCAAGGAAAGAGAAGATCTAAATAATTCTATTTCTACTTTAAGACAAGCTTTAACAGTTATGAAACAAGAATTTGTTAAAGCTGATAAAGAGAGGAAGGAACTGATTGCAGCAAATCAACAACTTAAGAATGCAATAAAGGAATATCAGCAGTTTAATCAGAAACAGGAAGAAGAATCCTCAAATTAATTGTTTTTAATAAAAGTTTTATTGTTATGGATTATGTTATAAATAAGAAACTTTTTTATGATACTTTAACTCAGTATAGTCAATCCTTATCATATAAATCCTTTAAATGTATGAAATATGCAATTAATTCACATAACATTTATTATGCTACATTCTTGATAAATGAATAACTTGGATCTAGCTATTGATGAATTTTGTCTTGAATATTTTAAAGTATTGATTCATTATTAGTTAATTTCAATCAAAACAATGATATTAGAAGAAGCTTTGCTTATTCCATGATGCTCAAAATTCCATCTATTTGCGAATATTTCTGCTCAAATGGGGCAAATATCAATTTAAAAAGTGAAAATGTACTTACAGCTCTTCATATTGCAGCATATGATAAAAGTAAAGAAACAGCCGAACTTCTTATATCACATGGTATAAATATCAATGAAAAAGATAGAAGTGATATAATAAATTTATGTGTTTAGAAAAGTCCAAGTGAGCCGCCATCAGTAAGTGAAAAGACAACCCACTGAGTACGATATCGATTGTTCTCTGGTTTCTTGCATGTGACAAATGTACATTCATGTATAGCATTGAAATTCAGATAGCATTTTTTGTAAAGATTATCGATGAATGCCTCTGTCTTATTCTCAACATCAACACCGCATATTAGCTTGATGCAGTTAGAGAATGTGCTTGGTTGGATATCGATGACTGAAAGAGGGATGTTGATATGAGTCAGAGAGGTACACTCAGCGAATGCATAATGACGAATGTATTGAACAGAGTTGTCTGGGATGAGTATGTTGACAAGGTTCTTACATTCGAGAAATGCACCCGCTCCAATCTCTCGGATCGTTGTCGGAATAAAGAAGAACTTGCATTGAGAACCAGGCGGGAATATGACTAGAAGTGTTTTGTTCTTATTGAAAAGAGCAAAATTATCAACTGTGAAGTACATGCTATCATTGCAAATGATGCTTGCAAGTGATTTGCAACCAGAAAACGCGGCAAATTTTATATTCATTAATGAAGAATTACTTTCAATGATGAATGTGCTGAGATTAACGCAATTATGCAAACCATATTCTGAAATTGTATGTGTATCACGTGGAACTGTGAAAGTCGTGATATTTGTCCATTGAAATGCATTTGAACTGATAATCTTAATTGTAGGAGGAAGAATTAAGTTACTTAGTTTGTATGCATTACTAAATGCATCTGTGCTAATAACTGTGATTGGAGGCTCACCTAAAAAAGTGATGTTTTCAATTCCTGAATTATCAAATGCATTTGCATAAATACTTTCAATTGAAGGAGGGATATCCAATGATTTCAATGAAGTGCACTCAGAAAAGCTAATATCTCCTATTGATGTTATATTTTTAAATATCACAGTCTTCAAATTTGTGCATCCTGAGAAAGACTTATAAAGTATTGTTCTTTGAGTACCTTCAAAAATTATCGTTTCCAAAGCTGTACATCCACCGAAAGCGTCATTTATTTTTGTTACATTTTTGAAGTGGACTTCAGTTAAACCTTCACAATTGGCAAAACCAGATTTAGCAATTTCTATTAAATTATCTGGTAAATAAAGAACCCTCAAAGAATTACAGCCCTGAAAACCATTAACACCAATTGAAGTAATGGTATTTGGAAAAATAAATTCTTGAAGATTAATGCAACCAGAAAATAATTCATAACTTATTGAACTTAATTGAGAATCTGGTTTGAAATTAATTGTTCTAAGACCTGAGTATCCAGCAAAAACTCCAAATGAAAATGATTGAACTGTTGAAGGAATTTCATAGCTTTCTAGATTACTGATTCGAGCAAAAATTTGCGTTTGAGCAGCATTGTAAAGAAGGCTTTGATTATCACAATAAAATGGCGAGCCATCTTCAAAGTCAAGTTTGATACCTGGATCGAGGCTTGAACCTTCAATTGATGTAACACTCTTCGGAATTCTGATACTTTTTAAGTTAGGGCAGTCGCCAAATGCATAAATTCCTATGCTTTTGATATTTTCTGTGAGTGTAATGCTTGAAATCTTAGAAGAATGGAATAGAAATCGAGTGATTGAAGTCAGACCACTACCAATAATAACCGTGTTTAGATACTTACAATCCGAAAATACTGAAATTCTAATATGGTAATATTAACAAGATTTGTGCCAGCAAATGCTAATTCCCCAATAGATTTTAATTTTGAATTGAATGTTATATTATTCAACATAGTGCCTTGAAAAAATCTAGATGGTATTGATTCTATATTTTCAGGAACTACGAATGAAGTTAAATTTCTTCTGAATAGTAAAACAAAGGAGGTTTTTCCTTTTGTATATAATATACTATCATCAGATGCATAGTATTGATTTTCTGGATCAACATCAATTCCTTGTATTCCTCCTAGAGCCCTAATAGAAATACTCGAAACTAGCTTCGGAATGAAAATTCTTGATATAGCTGTGTTTATAAATGCCATATTCTCAATGCTAATTAATTGTGATTCTGGTTCGATATTTAATGTGATCAATTGTCCACAATAAGCAAGGCAATAGGTTCTGAAGTGAGTTACTGAATTCGGAATATTTAAATAACTAATACCAGTGCCTTGAAAAACTCCATCTGCTAGTTCAGTCAAATATTTAGGAAGTATAATTTCTGATAGCTGTCCACAATTCTTGAAGGCAGCTCCTTTGATTTCCGTTAGTAATTCACAGTTAGTGAAATTAATCGAAGAAAGTTTTGCGCAGCCATCGAAAGCATGTTCACCGATAGTTTTAAGCCTAGAACCTGGCAGAAATGTGACAGATAATAGAGTATTTTTGCTTCCTGCAAAAGCAAATATTCCAGTTGAGGAATTTCCGTAGATGATCTCACATGATAATCGTAGAATAACATGTACACAGCGTTCTGTTGTAAATAGTATGCGATCATTGTCAAGATAGTCTTCACCAACTACTATTCTCTAAAGATCTTGTTAGTAAACATGAGAGTTATGCTATTTTTTGACTATATTGTTAAATCATTACTAAAGTACACGATCATATTTTCATCGTCTATGAAGATACCAGCTTGAGTATTTTCATATACAGCCCATTAAAAACGAGCCACATTTGAACAAACCGCCTTCCCTCAGTATATTGAATTCATAAAATTATAAAACTAAAATTATGAATCTGAGAGCCATATAATTCGATTCCATTCTATATTTACGTCTTTCCCTATGAACGACATTTAAGTTTAGAAATCAAAAATTAATATAATATGACTTGGAAAGCTAGTATTGTTTTACTAAGAAGAAGGTTTATTTATATGTTCTTCTGTTCGAATTTGAAATATAAACACCGTAAACTTATTATTTTCTAATACAAAAGTATCACAACAGGGAGTTTTCAACGTAATTGTTTCATTAAAAAATTTAATTCATAAAGTACAATTTTAAAATATTGAGGTCACAAAGTTAATCATACTATGTGGTACGAAACAAACCAGAAATCTTATGAACTCATAACATCAATGAACAATTATTCGTTTATTGATATTGAACTTGACTTTATTTAAAATAACAAGATAACAACAAAAATTTATGATTTAATAACAAAATAACAATTTAATTTCAATATTTTATTCTTCTTTGTTTTGTTCTGCAAAACCTTCTGAAATCATCTTCTGATTTTTGAAGGCTATCTTCAACCTTCTGTTATTGAGGTCTATTAACAGCAAATTTGTTTTCATCCTTCTTTTTTTGAGGAAGAAGTTTTTCTTCGGACTCTTTCATTGTTTAGTCTCTAAATAGTGAATTTTAACTGGCGCTTTTATTTCCAGTAATTCTTCAGGAATTTCTTCGATTAAAGCCTCATCGTCATCATTAGTCGTTACACTAGAGGAAAAACATGATTAATATTAATATCAACTTGATGAGCAAGATTTTGCTGTTAAAATCTTTTAAGTTTTTAGTGATACTGCTTGAAAAGAGAAATTTATCATCATCTCCTAAAAAGTATCATTTTTTGTTAGGACATCTGCAAAATAAATCTGAAAATGCAATTAGATAGCAAAATTGCGCATGGATTCACACATCATCGAAATTTATACCAGATAAATGATGAGCGAAAGTTGGAATTCTATTAAATGTTATATTTAAGTGATTCGAACTGTTTAATACTTCATAAACATCAACCATATCGAGACAATCCGAATAAACGTTTATAGAAGGAACAGCCAACCCAAAAGAAGAAGCTTATAATACAAACTTCGACCTTTGAAAAGTGACAAAAATTGCGATTAAAATTTAAATTGATGTAAAGAAAAAATTTATCAATAGATCAAAACTTGATCATCAAATAAATGTTGTTGCATTATAAACGATTTTTTTGTGAAGAACTGACCATTCGACTTCTTATAACTTTCTGATCAAAATTTTAACAAAAACATAAAAATACTTCGTATGAGATATTTATAAATCAACTTAAAAACAAAAATTTCTGAATAAAATTTTCATTTCACTACCGTTGAAAAGTGTCATTTTTTAAAGTATGGGATCCTTAGAGGAGCAGAAAGCTATTCTCGATGAAGCAGAAAGCCTCATTGAAAGACGTGATTATGATGGCGCAATGTCAAAACTTTTAGAAGTTGATCATCCAGATCTTCAATCAAGACGTGACTTCTTAATGGAGCAAGCCCAAAGACAAGGCAAGTAATTAAATCACGAAAATACACATAACAAATCAATTTGTATTACATTTTTAATAAAAATATTTTTTTTTATTTGTTTTAACTAAATATATTTTATCTTTAATGCTTATGCTACATCAGAAATATGCTCGTTTCTCATCGGAATTAATCAAAAACAAAAATTAAATAGTTATTATTTTTTACAACATAGTTTCGCTCTTAACACTGAGCTCAGCCTTAACTTTGTTCTTTGCATTTACCTGCTCTCCATCTAATATTGTGAGAGTTGGTAAAATAACAAGAATTGGCGGAATATGGCTCTTATCTTCCTGAATAAGTGGATTATTCTCTATCTTTAGATCGAATAATAATGGAAGCTTCTCAAAGGAGTGAAGCTCTTCGGGTGTTTTGAGTTGATTATATCTAAGATTAAGAGACCAAAGATATGGAAGTGATTCCTCTGTAAATTGATCGATTGTTTCGATAGAGTTATGGCTAGCATCTATTTCTCTAATCGAAGGAAGGTTTGGAAGCTCAAGTTTTGCAAGTAAATTTCCTTGCAAGTTAAGAATTTGAAGGGATGGCATAACAGCTAAATTTAGAGCTGTAATTGAGTTATTTGAAAGATTGAGATGCTTTAAGAAAGGAAGAGATGGAATATCTCCAGCAGAAGCAAGATGATTGGAAGATAAGTCTAAGTAAGTTAAAGTATTCAATGTTGGGAATCCATTAACGTTCTCAAAAAGATTTGAACTGAGATTGATTGAGTGGATGAATTTTAATAAACTGAAATTCGAAACACCTTCGGAAATCTGGTTTTGTGATAAATCAAGATCAACAAGATTTGGAGTATGCTCGAGAAATGCGAGTGATTGAATTTGATTTTGCGATGCAGTTAATTTTCTAATTTCATCTAACGGCTTTTCATTTTGTATTTCGGCAACATCTTTGCCTGAAATGTCAAGCTCAAAAACAGCCATCTCGATGCCGCGCATGCTTGGTGTTAACTTGGGTTTTTCCGACATCGCTAACGAATTAAAAGTGACAGCCATTTGAGTATCAATAAAAATACTAAAATCTGTTGTAGGCGAGACTCGAACTAATAGATGTCAAGTCCATTTTCATATTTTAATGAAATCATCAAAGCATAATTGTAGGCAATAAAGCTGGATATCGCACATAAAATATTAAATAGGAGTTAGAAAAAACAAAATACAAACCTTAAATATTTAATCATACAAAAAAAAAATTAATTAATTATTTCCTATTTGCTCTAGACATTGGTCTCAACGATAGCAAACCAATTGAAGACATAGGTCTTGATCTGTTAGCGCTATTTGTAGTCTTCGAGAAAGCGGACTGAGCTTTAAATGATCTTTCTGCGACATTTGGAAAAGCTCCAGTTGTTTTGGCCATGGATGGCTTCGGGGATTCAACTTTTGGAGGTTTTGTAGTGCCAATCTTCAACTTTTCGTATTGTTGCATCACTGGAACAACTCTTTGTTTGCCTTTGAAATAATTAATTTGTTCTTGAGTAACTTCTTTGATTTCTGAAACCATATCAGCAAGATTAACATTCTTAGTGGCTACAGCATTGAAATTGGCAATGGACTTTGTTTCAATCATCTTGAATTCGTCAATAAATTCTTTGATTGAATTTTCAAACTGTTTTTCTTGTCTTGTATGCTCTTCGTTGACTTCTGTTTCATGGTCTTTAGTAATCTTTTCTAATTCATCCTTCTGATTTTGAATTGTAGTTTCTTTGAGTTGGGCAAATTTCGTTTCTGTTTCAACGCGTCTTCTTTCAAGTTCTTCTTTAGCAACATCATGTGCTTGCTGACGTAACTCTTTTGCTTTATCGAAATGACAAACTTTTGCTTCTGCTTTGGCTTCTTCAAGTAATTTGATTTGTTCATCGACATCTCGCTCAGATTCAGTAATAAGAGTATATGTCCTATCTTGCTCTATTTCCATGAGTTCGGAAATATGTCTTTCCTCAGTTGATTCGACTAAAACTTGGTATTTTGAGTAAATCATTTGAGTATTTTTCCGACTTTCTTCTGCTTCGTCTTCTAATCTCTTTTCGGCATACTTTCTGTACTTTTCTATTTGGAATTTGGCTTGTGTTAAAGCATCCTGCATCTGATATTTAGCAAAATTTGCAATTTCTGTTTGAATTTGATTTTCATATGATTCAGCCGTTTCAAAATCAAGGACATCAATGGCATTCTGTTTCTTGATTCTCAAGTCATTGATTGTTGAGTATGTTGTCTGAGCAAGATGATCCATCGATACGTTATTTGAAAAAGTGACATATTATTCATATTTCTAAAGCACAAAACTTTATTATTTATATGTAAAATGCTTCTTTATACTACAGTTAGTCATTTTGTTCATTTTCATTTGAGCATTAGCAATGAATCCTGCAATCTTCAATACCATATTGACAGTAATACAAGTTCCATGCGCTTTTGTTCGTACAATTTGGTATTGTGGAAGGAAAAATAAAGCGAATTTTAAAGTTTACATGATTTATTGGCTTTTGATTATTCCAAGTCTCATTTCCCGGATTTATAATTTAATGCCGTATACACTACATTCATTATTTTTGCATTGCATGTTATATATCTGGTTGCAATCTCCTTTCTTGAATGGATCGGCAATAATTTTTAATATTTTTGCATATTTCTTCAAATTACAATACTTACCCATTGGAACTGACTTCTTTATGAATCCTATTTTTAATAATACTGTGAATAATTACAAGAAATTTCTTAAAGAGCTTCCTCATCCAAATTATTCAGAAGATAGCAGTCCATCAGCTGACCCTTCAGGTTCAGCCTACTAGATCACAAAATACTCGCTTTGTTTATTCAGTTTTTTTAACAATTTCAAAAATATTATTATACTATAATTTTAACTTGTTAGGATATATATATTTATTCAAATAAGCTTTTGTTTGTTCTTTTTCCCAAATGTTTATTCTTTTTCTAAATCATTTACCATTATAAAAAGATGCATATTTAATAAAAAAGTAATTATTGATGTTAAAATGTTGCATGCTAAGTTCGGTCAACGATAGAAATTGAGTGGAAATTAATCGTCGAGGAAGTACGATTATGTAAAGTAAAAAAATGTTGTGGGATTTTTAATATTATATATTATTTTATAATAAAATTTTTTTGAGTCATTTTAAGAAGCACATATAATTTTTTGAATTTAAAAATTAAAGTAGTGTCAAACGAATTTATCACTTAATTTAATACTCAGATTTCTTAAAATTAATGAAAAAAAGGTTTTCTGAGAACTTTTGAGAATGGTTTTCAAATTCCATTATTGAAAATATATAGGTATTGTATGAAATTCAAACTCTATATTTATTAAAATTCTAAATTTTTAATAAAATAACTTTTCAGAGGAATATGATTTTGAATGGTTGATTAATAAGTATAAAAATGTCTACGATTTTAAGGAGGGAATTGTTCCTTATGAGGTATACATCATAACTATATACCTCATAAGGAACAATTCCCTCTTGATAGCTGGGAAACTTTCTCTGAATAACTTATCATTTGGAGAAAGTTCCCCAGCTATCTATTAGGAACTAAAGGCTATGAGGCACTAATATATAATCAGTGCCTCATAGCCTTTAGTTTCCTATTAAAAACGAGAAAACTTGTTCGAAATGATAAACAATTTCGAACAAGTTTTCTCGTTTTAAGGAGGGAATTGTTCCTTATGATGCATACATTATAAATATATACATCATAACTATATACCTCATAAGGAACAATTCACTCTTGATATCCTGGATATTTTTGAATATATTTTTTTAATTAAAGTTCTCAAAAGTATTATCAAAAGTGATTTTTTAAAAATATCTCCAATTAATTAACTGATTAAAAGTATTATATTTTTAAAATTAAATAGTTTTTCAATTTTTTTGAAGGAATTGAGATACTTCCCACGACAATAAAATTGAGAGGTTTACATTATGACTGATCTTAGCATGCAACAAAAATGAGAATATAAGAAATTAATTGGCATTTTTTTCTGCTCTAAAAGACAATTCGTTCTTCCTAGCAACAAATTGAGGCAGTGGAACTACTAAGTTGAGTTTCTCCATAATTTGTTCAACAGGGAAAAGATTATTGATCAAATGTTCAACCTGATCAAGAATTCCTGCCTGGAACAATTTTTCGAACTCAATCTTCTGTTCTTTATCAAGCGTTGTTGCTTCTTCTAAGACGGAGTTTTTAATAAAAGCAGCATCTTTTCTAGTTTCTGGGTTTGTATCGATGCAGCTCATTACGGGTTATCCTGTAGGTGCAAAAAATGCGCAAAAACGATTATTTTGAATTGAATTTGCGCATTTTAAAATATTTCCGTGTGACGATTATTTCAAGTACGTATCTCATTATCTAAAACGATTGGTAATGAATGAGATATATCATGAAGTTTATTAATAAATGTGTAAGAAATATATTTAGTTAGATTATGTATGTTAGTAAATTTAAGATATCATTTTGCTAAATATAGAAGCTAATCATGTATACATTCAGTGAATGATAGAAAATAATTTTTAATAATGATATAATGAGATAAAAATATATGTTATCGTATATTGCCAATGATTTGATATTTCTATCTTTTCCAAATTACGGTATATTCATATGTTGATTAGATCAGTTAAATATAAATAGAATGTTAATGATTATATTTTAATTGAATAGCTGTAGTTTGCTACTTAAACACAATAATTGAAGCATTATATTGAATTTGCAATACTATGCCAAATAGATGATACATTATATCAATACTAGCGAAGATAATATATATTATAAAACATAAAGCATAAATTGCTTTATTAATTTCAAATAATTTAGCAAAAGTGCAAATAAATAGTAATTAACCTGAATAGTGTTATGTCCTATATATCTATATCGCATGTAGTCGGTTTTTTTGAGAAATAAATTAGAATCTGATACTGTTTGCTAGTTTGTGAAAAAATTCAGATGACTCATTGAATTTAATTTAAATTTCAATAAAAATTATCGTAGTTCGAAATTTTTATCTTTAATAAATCAAAGCTTCTATTTGGTTTTACAACGAAAATAAAAAATTGACATTTTCGATTTGTTCATAAGAATATTTTTTACGTTAATTGGAAGCCATTTTTTTAAACGTAAATCATCGAGATGTTTATGATATTTCATCCCAAAACTTGCCTTAATGCGACTTATATTGATGTATTATTTAAATATTAAGAGTGATTTCACCAAGATCTTCGAAGATTCAGAAGATCGTAGAAAAACTGCTCTTAAATGTACTGAATCGATTACACTCTTACTACTAGACATCTAAATTACATAAGTACAGTCTCCTAGAGAGCAATTTATCCAAGATCTTCTAAGATATGGAAGACCATGGAAAAACTGCTCTTTAATGAGCACTAATATCAAAATTTCCATTATTGAGTGCCAAAGATGCATAAATACAGTCTCTTAAATAGTAATTTTTCAAAGATCTTCCAAATTTTCGAAGATCCTGGAAAAATTACTCTTTAAGCTATCTTAATTTTGTATGTCCTACATATATGAAACATGTATTCAGAATGGTATTAATTTAAAGATCAATTCCTGCAATATCTTCAAAGAATGGAAAGTGAGTATTGGAGGAACTGTTCTTTAATGCTGAGTATTTGGAGAGTTTATCTAAATTATGATCAGAAAAGTTATCGTTTTTGAATTGGATCATATTCATTTATAAAGGATTGCATCCATTAAAAACTAAAACTCGATAAAACGTTGAATTGACAAATTATTTATTATAAAAACAATAGTGTGTTGAGAAATAATTATGATTAGGGATTATTTTTATCGAAAAAAAATTCCAAAAAAAATTTGAAAATCAAAATTTGAAATGAAAAACTACAAATTTTTCATTATAAGATGTAAAATGAATTTTTTTGAGTAAACCAAAGCTTCCTAAATTGATTAATAATCCAATTTTATTATGAATTTAATCATTTAATTCATTAAGTCATTAGATTAAAAAATAAAAACACTAGATAATGGAAAATATATTAGCAAGTTTAAATAGAAATATGATGGAGTTTAAATATACCCTGGTATTTCAGAAATTTAGATAATATTATTTGCATCGAGAAAAAAGTAGTTCGAATTTTACCAACTGAGTTTACAAATGTAAAGGATTGGGATATGCTTTACATTTGTAAACTCATTTAGTAAACTTGTAGTTTGATTTATTGCATCGAGAAAAAAGTAGTTCGAATTTTACAACTGAGTTTACAAATGTAAAGGATTGGGATATGCTTTACATTTGTAAACTCATTTAGTAAACTTGTAGTTTGATTTATTGCATCGAGAAAAAAGTAGTTCGAATTTTACCAACTGAGTTTACAAATGTAAAGGATTGGGATATGCTTTACATTTGTAAACTCATTTAGTAAACTTGTAGTTTGATTTATTGCATCGAGAAAAAAGTAGTTCGAATTTTACCAACTGAGTTAACAAAACGATTATCTCCCTCAGTACAAAATACCCTAACTTGAAATGCTAGCAAAAATAGAGCGTTTGGATGAATGAAGTGTACGTTTAAAAAATGGCTTCCAATTAACGTAAAAAATATTCTTATGAACAAATCGAAAATGTCAATTTTTTATTTTCGTTGTAAAACCAAATAGAAGCTTTGATTTATTAAAGATAAAAATTTCGAACTACGATAATTTTTATTGAAATTTAAATTAAATTCAATGAGTCATCTGAATTTTTTCACAAACTAGCAAACAGTATCAGATTCTAATTTATTTCTCAAAAAAACCGACTACATGCGATATAGATATATAGGACATAACACTATTCAGGTTAATTACTATTTATTTGCACTTTTGCTAAATTATTTGAAATTAATAAAGCAATTTATGCTTTATGTTTTATAATATATATTATCTTCGCTAGTATTGATATAATGTATCATCTATTTGGCATAGTATTGCAAATTCAATATAATGCTTCAATTATTGTGTTTAAGTAGCAAACTACAGCTATTCAATTAAAATATAATCATTAACATTCTATTTATATTTAACTGATCTAATCAACATATGAATATACCGTAATTTGGAAAAGATAGAAATATTTCATTAAGAGTGAATCCAAAGAAAATGCAAATAACTATGATATCCCAATAGTTTATTTGTTTTTATAACAGATCATGAAATGTCAATTGAATATCTCTAAATTTTCCCCATTAAATTTTTTATATTCTACCAAAACTTTAGATCTGAGTCATATCTCCAATATAGAATATATTTTTAATCTTATCACATTTTACTTTTATTATTATTAATTAATGAAACTCAATACAAATCATGATATGAATGTATCTCTAAAATTCAATAATCGTCACACGGAAATATTTTAAAATGCGCAAATTTTGCGCAAATTCAATTCAAAATAATCGTTTTTGCGCATTTTTTGCACCTACAGGATAACCCCTCATTACAAGTGATTTTAATTTGTATTCATCATTATTTAATTCTTTGGTTAAATCCTCGTTTTGCATTATTTTCTCTATTTCGGATTCTTGTTCATCTTGTAACTTATTCAGTAGTGTATTGATGAGATATTTCAAGTAATCGAGGCTATCTGCTAACAAGGGAAATGATTTCCTCAATATCCTTTTCCGTTTCTTTAACAGGTTTGTCGAGATTTTGTAAAATATGATCGACATTTTTTAAAACACTTTTAACTTGATCTAATTCAATTCTGTTTGATTTAATTATGGCTTTAACAGCTTGGTTCGGTTCATTTTCTGTCATTATATAATATATCACACCACCGAGTGCGAAAATATCGGAAGATGGTGAGTATACGAGATTTTTAATTACTTCAGGGGATTGATAAAGACCTGTTCCATGGGGATGAGAAGTCGCCATTGGATTGCCTGATTTTTGAACATCATCGTAATCGATGATGTGAGGAAAATGTTTTGTATCAATTCGAATATTCTTTGGACAAATATCTCTGTGAACAATTTTGTTTTTGTGAAGAGTCTCCAATTGATCAGCAATAAAATAAATCCATACTAATTTTTCGGCATATGAAACTTTGTTTTTTTCCAAATAATAGTATACTAAAATCAATGTAAAGGCTATCATCATTTTTATGAATATCAATGAGTTCCTGGAGGAAAATATTCTCTTTTTGAAGTTCTGCAGTTTTTTGAATTGTTTCGAGTACGCCTTTCCGATTATTTCGCGCGAAACTTTTTTCCCGATACACTTTGCGAAGTATCCCTTCATTTTCAAAAACTTCAATCTCAGCATTATTTCCTGCATGATAAGTATCATCCATTTTTATTTTTGTTTTTGACTAAATTAATTCACTTCTTAATTTTTTTTGACTTCTTCTGATATGATTGCAATCTAGTTTTATACCAATTGAATATACTATTTGTTGACAAACTTCAATTCTCGGACATACGATTATTTTTGATTCAAATGCTGTTCGGCATTTAAAATCAAAAATAATCATTTATACGAGAATTACACTTTTCCGACATTTTTGGGTCGCTTCGCACCCCTGACAAAACGTCGGAAAAGTGTAAATTTTCCAAAGTCAACACTCAATCAGATTGTCTTTCTCTTACTATATGGATTGAATTCCAATATCTAATTTCACGCAAAATATATCAAGAGCAATACAATTTCAATTGAAATCATGTTAAATTTTTTAAAAAAGATCGACCATTAAAGGTGTTACATTGAGATAACCGAACTATATCGTTCCTAAGTTATTGCTAGGAATGAACTCTTTGATCAATCTCCCTTTTCTTGATAATATTTTTTAAAAAAATGTGTATTAATTTAGTCAAAAATCAATGGTCATATTGAGTGTATGATAGAAAAATAATGACTGATTATCATTTTGATAATTCTTCTTTAAGAAATGAAATTTTTGACTAATTATTCCTTTGATTTTCCGCATAATCTGAACTATCCTAAAAAATTAGGTCATTTCGGATATTTATGGAATTAGAAGTATATGCTGTAGATATGAACAGCATCTTTGTTGATCAGGAATGAGAAAAGTGTACGTTTATTTTTTTGTATTGATGTCGCGCCAAAACAAGCGTGATCATCTTTCTGCAATTTTAGATTATCTAGACTCTGCCGAATCAAAGCTAGATAATGAAATTAATGAAATGGAAGCAAAATTATCATGTGTTACAAAAAAAGTCGCATTTGATATCGAATACGAACCAGAAATAAAACCAAAAGAATATCCACTTACTAAAATATCAAAACAACGCAACAGATCGAAGTTCCTTTCTAATAGTTCTATACAAAATTCGCAAACACAATCAAAATTAAACCAAAAAAGTGCTCAAAAATCGAGTATCCAGACGAGCAAGTTAAACTCTAAGTCGAAATATAATTCTTCAATTAAATCTCCAAGTTCTATACAGCAGAAACCTCCAATCAAAAGCCAGATCGATGAAATTAATATTTCAGGAGAAGTTATTAAGTCGTACCATCTTGATTTTGGATTTCAACCATCATCAACAGTAAAAGTTGAAAATCTGACAAGTGGTGTCAAAAGAATATTTCATAAAAATGGGGATGTTTCTAATGTTTACAGAGATGGGACAATGAAGACATCCCATAAAGGTATAGTATACACATTTTTCTCTAACGGTGACAAGCAACAAGAATTCCCTGATGGAACTAATTCTTATAAATACGCTCAAAACAACGCAATCGAAGTTAACTATAGGAACGGCATTAGAGTTATATTCTTCGCAAATGGACAAATACAACATTATACTCCAGATGGTAAGTGTGAAATCATTGTTCCTGATTCGACAATCATTGAGCAAGAAAAATAATTTTAAGCTATTTTATCTATCGACGAAAACACAATAGTCAATTAGAGGAATTGTAATATAACACTATCAGAAGTGATTTGGCCATAGGTTCTTCACCTTTAACACAATCTGTTTAAGATCCATTGATAAAAACAGATTCTACAAAGAATTATAATAATTGTTTATTTCTTAAGATTAGTTCATAAGAATTTTCTTCACAACTTCCTTTATCATTAATTATCATAGCCATTTTGACATTCTTCGATGGCTTGAATTGAGTGAAAACATATGAATGTTATTGAACTAATGATGATAAAACATTTTTTTCCATCCAGAAATTTTTTATTTTATGACTGATAGTTTAAGGATGCACTTACCACTTTTTGACCCTTAAGGTTTTATTTTCTGATCGGCTTCACGCCTGTTCTCCTATTTTTGAGAGCATGTCAGAAAGTGGTAAGTGCACCCTTAAGGCCGGAAACGCAAAATAATCGAAAAACCAAGGTTCGAATTTCAGTATATGTTAGCTATGGTTCAGTAATGAGAAATGGATAAGAAAAAAAGTTGTAAAATCACAAAAGAATTGAGAAGTTTATGGAGGTTTGCCAGAATATAAATGAATGATTTATTGTATGATGGATTTATCAACATATTAAAGAGCATTGTGAATCGATATGTTTATTATACAAGTTAGCACATTTGACGATAAAGAGATCGAGAATATATACCAAAATATAAAAAGCAAATTAATTGCAACAAAAATCTTATTGCCATCTGAGTTAAAGGGAATAATTTTTGAAGCGTCAAAGTTCAACAGCCTTTATTTAAAGTCATATTTGTCGATTTTCCAAAAAGTTTCAACTCTCTATCCCAAAGATCAAAGATGCCATGATATTCCTTCTTTATTATTATATGATATGTTTTATTCTAAGGACAGACAAATAGTTAAAGATGAACTTGAGAAACCAAAATATTCATTACCTTTAACTGAAAATAATGCAATTTACAGGTCAATAATCAATGATGACCAATATTTATAAATTTGGCTCATAGAAAGCAAAGAATTTCAGAAAAATCAAATGATAACTATTTTATCCAGATCCATATACAAATAATTCACTTTTGGAATTATGCTGCTATCATGATGCAGTTAAATGTTTTAAGATTTTAAAGTCAAAATTTAATTCAGATGTTACAAAAAAAATGCTTATATTATTCATTCTTGAGCGGAAAAACAGACATATTGAATGAGTGCATGAAATTTCAGAATCCAAATAAAGAATGCATGAAATATGCAATAGTATCTCACAATGATAGCTTGAATGGAGATACAGATCTTCACATCGCTGCCCAGGGGAAATCCCTAAAAATTTTCGAGTTTCTTGTTTCACATTGCGCAGAGATCAACTCACAAAATAATAATGGGTGTACGGTACTTATTTATGCAATTTGTAATAATAATATAGAAATGGTAAAATGTCTTGTATCTCATAATGCGGATGTCAACGTAAAAGACAAACATGGAAATTTCCCTCTAATTTTGGCTATTGGGTTAAGAAACATAAGAATTATTGAAATTCTCATTTCAAAAGGTGCCGATATTAATGCAAGAAATAATCTCGGACGCATGGCTCTTATTAATGCTGTTGATAACAGCCAAATGGAAATTGTACAATTCTTTATATCACATAATGCTTATGTGAATGCAATGAATGAAAAAGGAAATTCACCTCTTATGTATGCAGTAAGAAATAGAAGCGAAGATATCGCCAAATATCTCATAATACATGGGGCAAATGTGCGGCTTAGATCAGTTGATGGAAATTCTCCACTACGTATTGCAGTGGAAAATGATTTAGAAAAAACAACGAAACTTCTTCTTATGCAGGGCGCTAGTATATATGCTAAGGATAATAAAAGTGAACAGTATTGGAATTCGCAAAGGATAAAAGATTATTTAGATATTCTGACTCTCAAAGGCTTGTAATTTGTCGGGCAGCATTGGATAAGTTTTTTGTTTCTTCAATTATAATGATTGAATTAAATAGTTAAGTAATTATTACATTAAGAATGACTTTCCATATCAATTTAAACGTCAAATTTCTTAATGAACTAGCGCTAGGTATCTCAATTAGTTGAAAACAAGTGATTTCCACAAGGAAAAATTCCTTTACAATTCAAAGCATTTGATATTTTAACAATCTAGTAGGATCTATTTCTAATGTTTAAAAATCATAATATAAAATAAAAAGCTAATGCATATACTGATACTGTAAGCTATACATAGTTGGAATGACGCTATTTCGATATTAAATAGCCTTCTAATCGATATTTCATTAGTCTCTTTCTAAAATTCCTTCATTGCCACTTTTTTTTTGTAACGTATATAAATGGAGAATAAACGTGAAGCATTCCGCAAGTACCTTGATGATGGTGGTGTTCTCGACGCACTCACAAGAGTACTTGTAGCTTTATATGAAGAGCCAGAGAATCCAGAGGCTCCATTAGAGTATATTAAACAATTTTTAGGATCTCCAAATGGAATTGATGTAGAGAGCCTTCAAAACGAAAATAAGGAATTAGAAGAACAGGTAAAGACATTAGAAGCAAGAGCAGCAGAGCTAAAGCAACAACTTGGAATAACAGAATAAATAAACTGTATTATTTTATATCTTAAATAAACGGATGAATATATAGTTATACAAAACCTACAAAATAACAAAAATGAAATCTATTCTCTTCACTAATTTAAAAAATATTTGAATATCTATCATAGATCAACGATCTCAGAAAGCAGTCGAGATCACATCTAACTTTTTTATTAATTCCATGCAAATCTAATATGAATATATCACGATATTGAGATTTTTATTGATATGATTTTAATTTTTTTTTTGAATCATGCATTATATGATCCAACACATTTAGTTATAGCATAAATTATTACCCGGATAAAACTAGTCATTTCGTTTATTCACATTTCAAATAGAATAATGTCATAAACTTTCAACAATACTGATGTGTGGCAACACCATATGACTAAACTAAAAGGCTCAAACATTTACTTATGATTCTAAGGTTATGATATCAATATATTAAGGATTATTCAATAGAGATGGTTTCATATATAGATGCTTGGGCTATGAACTGCAGATAGTGACTATAGTTTATGCTCAAATGATCGTTTGACAATGTTTTTGCTCCACAGGCATAAAAAATAAGAAGTGATAAACAAAAAGTGACAAAATAATATGTTTAGGGCAATTGCTGAGGAACATAAGGAAAAACAAAAGGAAAAAAAGGCACATATGAAAGAGCTTGAAACAAAAATTGTCGATCAGTCTCTTCCAGCACTTAGCGATGCAGTCTTTGAAAAATTAACAAAAGGATCAGAGGAAATTCTTACAAACCAAAAAGAAATAGACTGTAGATGCAAAACAGTTCGCGAAGAGTGGGAAAAGCTTAACAATGAGCTCGGAAAGTGGGCAACTATGATTAATGACCTTGATCGTGCTGTTAAAGAAATTGGAGATGTTCGTGCATGGTCACAACAAATACAGGCTCAAGTTCAAGAGGCTGTCGAGCGTCTTGACAAGCAATAAACTATTCTATTCCGATTTTAATTTTTATTAACTTCTATTTATATTCTATAAAATACAATTTCTATAACGATCAAAAATCATACATAAATATTTGATATCTTTGATTAAATCTAAAGAGAGAGAGGGTCAAAGTTGCTATTTGTCACTTTTCCACAAGAAGATAATGGGGAAAAAGTTATCATATAGTTGATCTCACTCACCTAGGTGAGAGATGCATGTAGTGTAATGTGATAAACAGTGGGATTGCTGATCTAAGTCCTAGGTTCGAGACACATTGGCTTCATTTTTCTCTTTTTTATTGACGTAAACTATTCAATTTTTGTGTTCTCCATTCAAATTTCAGAATTTTTTTTGCAGATTTCACGCTACATTCGAAGTTACCTTTTGTAACAACCACCACTGCCTACGAAAGACGAAAGTGTGTCACGATTTCACCCGGAAATCCGACGGTTGTTTAAGAGTATGCACTTTTGTCACCTACTCAATCTAAAGATTTGTTTTTCATTTTGAATTTATTTTTCATAAAAATCATGTTTTTAAAATGTAAATTGTTAAATCAAGCTATGGTTAGAATAATTTCGAACTATTTTGAATTAAAAAATGAAATCAAATTTGAGTTAACTTAGTTTAGTGTGAAAACATTAAAAAACATATTTTCCAGGTTGATAAAATAAGAATTGTTTAGTCAAATAGAAGGATTTCGATATTTTTTTGAAAAATTTGTTGAATTTTGCATGGAAGCAGCTATTTTTGAGCTTTTATTTTGCGTTACAAAAAGAAAGTTTATTTAATATAATATATGCAGCAATTATTCCGTTCGTTTAAAACAAAATTAAATTCCAAACGAATAATCACATTCAATAAATAAAAAAATACGAAATCCAGAGAAGATGTGGCTTATTTGAGTTCATATCCGACAAGTTCTGGATCTGGCATTTGCTTGTTATCTGTCTGAGAAGCAGACGAACCAGTAGAAATGTGGAGGCTCTCAGATTCGTCAGTCTTCTGTGGGTACTTGGCATCGAAGAGGATTTCTTCTTCAGCGTATTTGATATTTGTATTGATTTTTCCGCATTTCTTGAGAATCAAGAATGCAACGACAGCGATGATGAAGATTACCAAAGAAATAAGGAAGATCACCCATCCTCCGTGAGAGAAAATCATACAAATCATGGCTGCGATCTGGACAACGACTGAGAAGATGTTTAAGTAAGGATACAAGAATGCTTGGTGGTCGAGATCCTTCTTTGGATCATATCCGCGTCTCTTTAGTTTGATTCTGAAGACAATTTGGGATATGATGATTCCGACCCACATCAAAGTGCCCGTGAATCCACTGATACCCAAAAGAGATCCGTAGAGTGATGAGGATCCCTTACCAAAGACGCCCATTGTTTGTGATAAGAAACCAAAGATGAAAACAATCCAAATGAAAACAAGAGTAAATATCGTAGCGTTGAAAGGTGCAGCATACTTGTTGAGTTTGGATAAGAACGCTGGAGCCAAACCTTCCTTTGACAAACCATAAATGCATCTGACTGTACCGTAAAGACCGGAGTTAGCGCATGAGAAAGCAGCAACAAGAGTGACAAAAGTGAATAATTGGCCGGCCCATTTCAATCCGTATGATGATAATGCGTAAGCGAAAATTGATTCGTCGAGTGAAGCTTTGTGATGAGGAACGATCATAATCAAACACAAAATAGGGATAATGTAGATCATGATAATTCTTGTAGCAACTTTCTTGCAGGCTGCTGGAATATTCTTCTTCGGATCTTCAGTTTCAGCCGCAGAAAGACCGACAATTTCGGATCCCTGGAAGTTAACCAAAACATAGATCATGTATGTGATGAGAATTGCATAGCCATTGGGGAAAAGACGATGGGCCAATGAACCCTCACCTTCTGTAATGACTTTTCCGCCAATGAAACCAACTTCTGTATCTGTGAATGGATGCTGTTTCTTTCCAATGACACCAACCCAGATAAAGAAGGCGACAACGACGAAAAATACAATGACTAAGATTTTCGCAATAGCCATTGCTGATTCGACGTGGCCGAACCATTTGACCTTGAACAAGTTGATAAGTGTCAAAAGGACAAGACATATGCAACCCCAAACGAAATCACTCCATGCGGGGTTCTTGAAAGGAATTGTGTAATAAGTATTCATGAAGGTTGAGAAGGCAAGACATTCGGATGGAACGTAGACAACCCAGTTAACCCAGAACGACCAACCAATGCCTGTACTGATGGCATCTCCTAAAAACTCTCTATTGTAAGCAACAAATGAACCATGACGTGGTAAATTGACTAAAAGCTCGGAAAATGATTGCATAACACCGAAAACACAAACACCAGCAATAAAGTAACCAATGAGAACGGGGATAGCGCCCATTTCAGCAAAGGTAAGTCCGAGGCCTAAGAAATAGCACGAACCAATAATTCCTCCAAGAGAAATCAAAGTAACATGCCAGGATTTGATACCTCTTGATAAAGAGGTAGGCGGACCGTCGTCCACAGATTTAATGACTGGTTGAGAGTCATCATGTGGACCTAAGTCGTGTAATTCTTGACCATCTGGGTCAACATGTTGAAATTCGGTAAATTGAGCGACTGTTTCTGTTTCGACTTCGTGACTGTTAATTGGAAGATCCGGAAACTCTTGTGGATCTGGAGATTCTTCGCTAGAATGATGATCTGAATCCATTGCGAGAAAAAAATGAAATTGTGAATATTGTGTTAAAATCAGAAAATTGAGTAGAAAAATGGTCTGTTTCTTTTAAATTTGAATGCAATTAATTTTAAAATAAGACCATTGTAATTAGAAGTGCATACTAAATATGATCTCATTTCGACAATTTTTTCTCCAGCGTTAATTTTGCAAATTACCACAGACTATTTCAGAGGATTGAGCGGCAACTCAATCCTCTGAAATAGTCTGTGGTAATTTTTAGTCTCTACACTATTTCAATATAAGCTCCATTTTTAAACAGTTTTTAAAAATCGAGCATTGAAAAGTGTGATGAGACTTTTATTTTTTCTGTCAATTCGTATTCTCTCAAATGATTCTGACATAAAGGTTAATATTAACTTTAGGTACAGCAAAATATTGCATAAGATTTGCATTTGTGAACGTAACCCAATTTTTTAAATGATCCAGATTAAAAGAATTAATATACAAATACAACCGATATGTAACCTTTTTTCACGAACTCCAAGCCATAGAATGAAAAAATTTTGACGGTTTGATTTTGATAAAATATATTGTACAATACACCAATATCAAAATTACTTTTATTGTTCTAATTGTAAAGTTCTCAATCAAATTTTGTATTCAAATAAAATTTTTATTCCATCAAAATCAATGTTTTTAATTATATCAATCTAAACACATTTCAATATTGAATTTCATATTATAATTCAAGTTTTAGAAAATCATCCATTTTTTTAAAAGAAAACAACAATAATGATTACTGAAGTACTATCTACACAGGTCTAGCATAGAAACTTAGCCGGCGATATATAAATTTGGGTTCATTATGACATAAACAAATCACAAAATAGCCATTGATCTTACAACGATCTCGCTATTTACCTTCTTATTTCTCAAATATCAATGGTATCATTGACAATATCATTTTTATTTTAACAGTCTTGTTTGTTCTAAATCCTTTCAAATGAACTATTTTTTAAGGATTTATGAATTCTTACTATAATAAGATCCTTTTAAATGTATAATTCCTCCTGATCCTGAAAGAGATAACTGTAAAATAAAGGGTGTGACTGTCTTTTAATCTGTCCACCCGAATACTATCGATTTCATTTTAAAATCTTATAATCCATTGCTTAAATAATAGTCAACAAGCATTTTTACTCGAAAATATAATTAAGCATTTTACATCAATTAATTCAGAATCGTACATATCCTTCAAATTTGATATAATTCACTACAATGGTAAATTTATTATTATATGACGATCAAGATTGGTCAAATATTTTCAGAAAAAATTGAATTCTTTCAATCTTTCAGAGGTAGGGCAACGATAGAAAATTTTTGGAAAAAAAGTTCGGAGATCTTAAACGTATCATATTCCCTGCATGGTTTGGTATCTTCCGCCATGCGTTGTGCCAAACATATTGACACTTTCCAATAATTAATTTATGGTATGAGTCACAGAGTTAGATTATAAAAAGAAAGTAAATAATTGCAATTAGAAATCATATATGTCGGAAATCAAATGTTGATGAGCAGAAACCTTTTACTCATCATAAAAGAGATAAATCACTAAAGATTTGTATACATTAAAATTTGATATTTGGTGCTCGAAAACTGTCTGATGGGACTCCTCCAAAATGAACCAATCTATCGCTGAGGACCAAATTAGATGATGTGGATGGTGTATTCTCTAATTCTAACTTAGGAAGAATGGGAATAAAACGAATGACGACAACAACATGTCAAACATAGATTAAATATCTATGAATCAATAAAGTATACGTGCATTGAATGTGATAACGATCACTTGAGGCTTATAACTCTTTGACTAAATTATGCAATAATTAAATATAATCATTTTTATATTTTTATACTGATAGTAATTAATATACTATCCTGCTTAATAAATGGTATGATCAAATTTGTTTGAAAATTTAATTATGTATATGAAACTATGTCTTCTATATAAAAATCAAAATTTTCTAACGAACCTAGATTGAACCTTTATGAAAATCTATCATTTTTGTTAATTGAGTTAATATGAATCTTTTACATATGTATATATAGCATTGATAGCTTATATAATCATGGTTTATTCCATATTAACATATTTTTTCAGTTAAATTTGTTAATAATATCATGTAACAAATTAATTCGAGTGCGGGACAAATTTGCCAAGTGTTACTTTTCAATAACCTTAAATTACACTTTTCTCATTTTTGAAAAAATAACCTTAAATTATATTTGAAGAAATTATGTCTATGATATATGTTTTATGCTAGAATCTTGGAGTTTTCATGCACTACACAAGAGCTCCAAGGTTCCAAGAGTGAATGCTCAATAGCAATTATAGAGATGTACCTTTTCAAAATGACTTTTACTGATTAAATTTAATCAATAGAAGACATTTTGAAAAGGTACCTCTACAATTAGATATACAAGAGATTCAAAGCTTCATTTCAGATAGATTTGAAACTTTGAAACTCTTGGTAGATTTTGAGTGAATGCTGACAATCATCTTTGAGAAGGTTTTCTTTAAGAAAACCTTCTCAAAGAGGTTTCTCAGGAGCCCTGAGGCTCCCTTTCGTAATGATTGGGAGCCTTGGGGCTCCTGAGACGAAGAATGGCTTCGCCGAATCTTTGATCAGCAGAGGCCAAATGAAAAGGCCTCTGCTGACGGATTCTCAGGAGCCCTGAGGCTCCCTTTCGTAATGATTGGGAGCCTTGGGGCTCCTGCAGCAGAGTATCGCTCCGCTCCATTAATTTTTTTAAAAAAAAGTGCCGTGTGGCAAATTTGTCCTGTTCCCAATTAATTCAAGATTAGAATGTCTACAAAATGCTAACAAATAAGAACAAAATACGATTTCTCGACTTAAATTTTAATATGGAGTAGTTTTTCGTTTAAATCTAATTAAAAATGAATAAAAACTTATCTTGTACTATTTTCATTCAAAGATTTTAATAATGTAAATCATGCATTTTCATAATTCAGTACAGTTCTTTTTAGAATTAAAGTTGATGAGGATGATATTTGTGATTTAAAATAATTTGTTAATGTTCACCTTTTATTCATCACCTTGTGGTATGCCCTAAAGCAATAGCATTATCAATTCTGCTGAATTGATCAACTCAAAATTCCAAAAAAAATTCAAAATTTCAAAAATGAAATTAAACAATTTGAATTTTCACATAAAAAATCAATTTCGAAAAAATTTGGAAAATCAAAGTATTTGATAATTAGTCAAATAATCAATTTACATCGTTTTTACTCATAAAAAACAACTAATTTTTGATTTTGATATCATATTTGATAAATACTCATTCCAGAGTTGACGTAATGTATTAATTATTGTTAGAGATATTGCTTTCGCAGCAAAATTCTTATTTCATGAAAGAAAAAAAAAATGATTTTATTCCAACAAAAACAAGTAAACAGATGAATGGAAACGTACTATATTTTCATAAATGTAGTAATCAGCGTGTCGGCTTTTGTTTATCATGTTCGAGTCAAAATGTATTAACTTGTAATAAGAAATATTCGAAGATTATATGAAGTATTGAGCATTCTTTGTAGAAATATTTGTAATTCATTACTAACATATATAATAAAGTTGTTTTTTTTCCTTATTGCAATAATTTTGTCTGATTTTAATAACTTTCATGTATACGAGTTGTGTGAATATGCATCATAATATGCGTAAATATACTTATTTGCGACGAATAATGTGGTTGCATAATGGAGGTGCTAAATTTTTGATTTTTAATATGGGGCTTTGGTATGTATAATCATGTTCTTATCTCAACGTAGGAGTATTGGTGCAATATGATTAAAATTTACGAGGCTGATCTTAAATTGAATAATTCTGGAGTATAAATCACAATGCAGCTAATTCTATGTTAAAGATAGATACAGATTGTAGTAATCAATTAGGGAGTACAAATTCATTCTTTCATTTCTGTCGTATTGAGCAGAAAGGAAGAGATCATAACCCTAGGAAAAAAAGCCCAAATTTGTCACTTTTCATAGTACGTTAAACTCAATTCGCTCGGCGAATGCCGAGCACACGTACTCATCATTCAACATAATATTCTCATTCTTTGGTTATATATAGTGCCAGACAACACAAGATTTCAAAGAATTACTTGAGTTTTTCAATTAATCTTAATCCGATTTTAGATTTATCGAGAACTCCATCATCACAATCACATACTTCAGTGCGGTAACTACAATTATCCATATACAGAAGGAAGTTCTTTTCGAACAACTCATTTGGAGTCTGTTTTGGAAAGAACTTCTTTCTGTCCGACTTAATTTCATAGTTCCTGATCAACCAAAAGACAGAAACCACACACTATCTACTCAGGAAAGGAGTTCTTTCTAAATCTTCCTTAAATTGAGATTTTACGAGAGATAACCCTTCTATTGCACTTAAAAATGAACATTTTGATATCTTTAGTATCACACATGGTCATATATAGTATTTCATCTACATGAATACATTCATCTTTCGAAGTCTCTCATTAAATGGGAGGCTTCGAAAGATGAATCGTTTTATTCATACAACTTTAAATCTCGAACACATTTAGAGAGTGAGTATATCATTTTATTCTTGTTTTGAGTTTATTCTGATTCAAAATTGCAGTGAAAACAGAAGTTCACACATCATATCTGAATGTGAGCTCATCTATACTTATACGATCTCAATACCTCCACTCTAAGCATAAGAGGTGAAGTTATATAAAAATTATCAGATGCGTTGAAGTCTCAAAAGTATTGCCTGAATGCTTGTTTCATATTTGTCCAAGTAGTTTCAATGAATAAATGTATTGTTTTTTATAATTTCGATTTATTTTTAGAAAATATTCAATATAAACCTTTATTGTGTTATTTACATCTCATAAATTCTCTGTCTAAATCATATAAAAGCGCGTTTTACCCCTATGAATCAAGAAATTCATTCAATATTCATGGTATATTTATTAAATTTATACGATTTACTAATAATCAATATTATATCCTCATAAATAGCAATATATTTTGGTAATCTATGATAATCATATACAATATTTGAAATCAAATTTTCATTAGTTTAGGTTCCTTGTTAATAATAAACCATTATATTTATTACTAATAATAAAATCTATGTGTCGTATTGAAATTCAATAAAATTACTTATTCGGTCCAAAAAAACAAATTAGATAAAATTTTCTTTTTTTATGTAATTTTTGTTTTTCATTTTTCTCAAGATCCTAAGTTATGTTCTAACTTTTGACATCATATCCTATCATGCTAGGCTATATATTATAGCATATCCAAAAGGCAATGAAATCTATCAGAGAAGCCTTTTTGACCTATCGTTGCCCTACCTCTAATCTTTCTGAAAAATAATTTCATTTTTTTGTTAGTGGAAAACGAATATTCTGATTGTTTCATAATTGCACTTTCTTATAGTAGCTCAGTCCATATTATTCAACTGCATATTTTATAATTTAAACAATTCTAAACCCGTTTTTACATTCAAGGTTATGATAAGCACGTTTTTATTCTTTACAATAGTTACGTATCAATTTCCCTACTTTATTTAATGCAATTTATCATTCAATAATCTCTATAATATCATTATATGAGTCAAAATTGAATTTCAACTTTTTTTTTTCATATGAAGAGGGTACCACATTCATTTGCCAGAGTTCACCATAAGAAAATCAAATTCTTTTTTCTTTAATACTTTTATAACAGAAACATTGAATATAAAGTTGAAATTGGACTTATCTTATATTTTAAAGTCAAAGGACTATTAAAAGAAAGCTCCATTTACACGAAAACAATTTTAAAAGCAAATCAAGTACTCTCTTCAAATATATTTTAGATTTAGAAATTCTTTTGAGGAATTCTCTAGAGTGTGATTTTGTCAACAATACATAATAAAGTATATACTGTATGTTTATGCTATGCCCTATTATTAGAAAAATTTATTATAATATTGAATCAAGCATAAACAGCTTCCTCATCATTATTATATTAATTCTTTTAGGTATACAGTGAGATTAGCATTTCGTAGGTTGTGATTTATAGCTGATAAAAATTGTTTGTATTTCAAAAAGATTAGATATAGATCTACGGATATCATTGCGAAACAAAGTACTTAAGTGTGAAGAAATAATCCGAAAGGAATTGAAATAAGATCAGAATCGAATTTTTCTTTTTCAAAATCAAGGAGTAAACTATTGATTAATAGTAGAGATGTTTATATAACGGATCGCATTAAGGGTGCACCCGCATGTACGTTTATTTGAGAGTAGGAGGATTACCATCTCAATTTTGAATGCTTCGTTAGCGCAATATCTCGATGAATATTGTATTAAAATTGAATTTGCCCATACCAATATATCTGATACAATATCCTTAAGTTTTACTAAAAAGAATTTTTTAAAATCCCTGCAGATTCGGGGATTTTTCAATTTTTTGATTTTTTTCGCAAATTTTTCGAAAAAAAAATATTTTCAGAAGAGCCTTAACGGCTAAGTTTTATGTTTAATGTTGAGTATCAAAAAGAATGGGCGTCTGATATAGCCATCATATATCCCAGAAGCAAATAAAAATTCTGACTTTTTAAGCATAAAAAAATAAAATTTTATTTTTTGCAAAAAACAGGCCACCCGGATGTACGTTTATTTGAGAGGAGGAGGATTAAATTTTTGAAAGCAGTAAAATTTGTAAATATTCTAGTTATATAATAATATGTATTATTTTAAAAAATAAAAAATTAAAGCACGTTAAAATTTTTTTGATGAATTTTTACAAAAGCTACTTAGGATTATGCAAAATATAGTAATTAAACATAAATTTCAAATCAGATTTTACTTATGATAAATATTTTAAATTTCCGAAAATTAAGTTCAGATCGACTCGATACGTTGTAATTACTAAATAAGGTGCCAAAAACCTATTAAACAGTATCAAAACTATCAAGATTGTAATGTTTTTGAAGAAAAATTTATAGAATTATGAACTTCAAACAGATATTATGTAAATAAAAATAATATAATGGATTTGTTTATTCGTATAATAGCAGCAATAAGTCGATTATTCACTTCTACTTCTGAGATTTGAATTTAATTTCGACAGAAAAAGAGATTCAAGAGGAAAATACTAGGGAATACAAACTGCCACCATGACAGGATTATTATGGAGCCAAGTTGTACTTTTTGATATTTTTAGAGTTTTACTACCTATTTAGGTACCAAGTAATTGCTTAAAAATTAAGGTTCTAAATTCTGAAGTTTACATGATCCTCCCGGGCGCACCCTTAACATCATCATGGAAACTAAGCGAAATCAGATATTGATTCATGAAGTTGGATATTAATGTTACAAAACTGCCATTTTTGAGTTTTGTTGTCTAGTATTGAAATATTTTTGTGAACATGAATTTTCTTCTTTCATAATATTGAAGTAGTTCATTTGTTACATATATTAAAAACAATACTTAAACGATAAGTCAACCGTATTTTTTCTTTATTGATTTGCAAATATCTTAGATGAAACATTAAAATATTTCTTCGGAAAAATCTTCACAAATCTTTGAATTAAAATGATTGCTTTCCAAATGAATTTTCAGAGGACGCAAAGATTTAAACGAATGAATACTTAAGAGTAATAAGGATGCAGCAAATATTTATTTTTGATAATACTGCCGAATCATTATTTTTGTATTTTGGATTTGTATTCCTATATAACAACAGATGCCAAAAATTAATTAGGCTTCAAATCACTCAATAATTATAATACAAACATGACAACAGAAGTTTTTCAATTTTTACAAATAAAACCGCTTTCTTAATTCAAAAAAATCACATTGATTTGAATTTTTAGATAAATGAAAAAATTTTGTAATCTACTTTAATTAGTAATATTGATAAAAAAGATTGTACGTTATCAGCATTTTCAGAACTATTCAAATTCTTTGTGGACGTAAAATCCAATTTCAAATCCAATTATAATTAATGAGCGATATTGACTAAATTTCGAATTTCACAAATATTTCAATTCATACAATATTTTTTTTTACAATTGGATGAATGATTTGGAATTTATAGATCCTGAACAGAAATTCGTATATACCTATGTGAACTTTGCTGACTATCTAGATGTTCCATGGTATGAGCAATTAAAAGAGATCATGTACCAATATTTTAGCAAGATTCATACAGATGCAAAGACGCACATCCTGATTAGCTATGTTCTTTCCTTTTTTCTAGCTATACAAGCAATTTTCCCTACATTAGCGCAACAATCTTTTCAACAAAAATCGAATTTACTTGCTAAAACGGTAAAATTACTTTCCGCGATCTGGTGTGGCGGTGGATTGTTTGGAGAGAACCCAGCACTAGTAACATCATTTGTCATATCATTAATCTTCACTGCTTTTATGATATTTACGTTTTTTCATGCATTTCGATACAACCATGTTTTACGTCTTTCGTTTACAGAGTAAAATACAGTTTTCATCGTATATAACTATATTATCCCTATTTTAGTTCCATTTATTACTACAGGAATAGGACAATCAATAGAATACATTATTAAAGGTGAAATAAGCGCATTTTCAATTATTACGCTAATACTATCGATAATAGTATTTGTAGTGCACTTATTATTCCAATATATGTTTTATTCGCCGAGAATTATGTTTTTAGCTGACATAACATTAAATTGGAACTCGCTAAGTAGTATGTTGATTACATTATGCAATGGACTCCTTTCCATGCTTACATCAGCCTCAATTTCCATAACAGATTCAAAGATATCGATTTTATTTGCAACATTAATTATAACGTACTTACAGTTGTTCCTATCGGTCTATTTATTTGTAAATGTATCGTTCATTAACAGAAAAATCGGTTCTATTTATTCCGGAATATTATTTGGTTGTGGAGCAGCAAATATCGTTAATATCATTGCAGTTTATAAGACTATCAACTATACAATCATATTCTTCGCTACAATCTTATTAGTTATCGCTTCTGTTCCAATATTTTTGATGATATCAAATAAAATCGTTCAAAAAGCTCTAACGAGGATATCTTTTGTTGACAATGAGAATCAGAAACAAGTTTACAACAAAGCCGATGAATTTATTTCAGATGTAAAATTAACAATCGAATTTTGTCCTCTGCAAGTGTTTTCTTGGACATTATACGAATTCTTCCTCGAACTAGAACCTCGAAACAACGATTTGATACTACTTTATTGCAGATTGATCTCTGCATTTCCAAGATATCAGTATCATCTCGACGATGTAGCGAAATTCATGAACTATTCAACTCTCAAACTACGTAGAATATATTTCTTGCAATTATCGCACATCATCCGCCATAGACATACCACTACAACTACAGAAGTTATTTCATTTTTCAATGATTACGATAATCAGAACAGAACTTTACAATTATTGACCCAGAAATTCTGGGAAAACGTTTTATCAGAGAACAGATCTGCTTTTTGGACGACAATGTTAGATTATAACAAAGAAATCAAGAACATGGAAGTTTTAGTGAGACAAGCGATCAACGATTTCGAGAACAGCCCTGAAGTAATCTCACAAGCCATAAGAGTTTATCAAACAGTCACTTTTAACTTCCATCAAGCAAATAAACACTCTGATGAGCTGAAATTGTTAATGAGTGGTGTTCCTGCGCATCCTGATCGTGCTCTTCCTAACATTCTTTCGGTGTTTCCGATGATTGGAGGCATTTCCGCCGATGTCGTACAGGATATTGAAATTTCTGGCCACGCGATTGACATGCACGATATCGATTCCGACTTAATGCAGCGTAAAGAAGTAGTCTATGACCTTCTCAGCCATCAAAAAGTCGGCCAAATTTGGTTACAGGTCATTTACTTCATTTTGGCGAGTGTTTTGTTGGTTGTTTTCGGATCTGTGTATATATCTAAGCTCAGTAGTACAGTTGTTAATGAGATAACCCAGACATCAGATTTTATGATCGAAGCAAGTACGTTGTTACACGTTTTCTCGCGTTATGCCTTATTCAAGAGCTTCAACAAAGGCTTGTACCACACGAAAGATACTCCTATGTCCAATTCTGATGAAACCATGAAACAAATTTCTCCGAATTGGTATCCAGAGTACCTTTCTAAGTATGATCCGTCGGATACAAAGATGGCCAGCTTGGAATATTCTCTTAAAAAAGAACTAGGACTAACGGTAGAGAAATTAAGAGAATTAGATCAAACAAGAGAGAACGTTAAGGTGTTTAATGATCGGTTCTTGGTCGAACAGTTCGAACCATACAATTATACACTCAATGAACTCATGGTTAACATATTTTCTTACGAAAAATTGGATTTAACTTTCCTCCAAATGACGAAAACAGCATTTACATACTTGAAAGACATCATAGCAGAGTTTGCTGATGCTACGGACTTCACGAATACTCCTTTATCCATTAATATTCTTATGATATTAACTTTGTTAATAGATTTATTGGTTTATTGTCTTCCTATGGTTCTCTATTACTTCCTTATCCATGTTCAGATGGAAGATATCTGTTCTATGTACTTTTCCCTTCCAATGAGCGAAGTCAAGAAAATAATCGGAGACCAAACAAAAGCTAAGAAGGAAAACAGCCTCGCAATGACCTTAATATCCTCTTCCGATAACAAATTCTTGAACTTTCCCATGGCAATAGTACAGTATACATTGTGCGTCGCCTGTAGCCTACAGCTACAGGCACCGACACAATGAAAAAAGTGACAGAAAACTGACACCATACGGGCGCGCATATGTACGCATATATGTGTAAAAATAAACGTTCATATGTAAACTAACCTTTATTCACTAGCAGGAGCTTTGTTGTTCGCTTCCATTAAAATGTAAACTTTACGTGTCAAAAAAATTCTGTCACGTAAACTATTTATGTTGAGATTGAGTACCAGACTCTAATATAAGTTCAACCATTATATTAGAGTCTTTAGGAATTTCATATGGTTCTTTTACATAATATTCCTTTTTTTGACCATCAGTTGATTCTTCAACTCTTTTGAATGAAAAGCGCTTATAAAACTCAAACACGAGTGCATCTTTATAACCAGTGATATCGTAAAATTTTGGTGGCACAAGCTGTTCATTCACATTACATATAAATTGTTTGTTATCATGAGCAATATTACTCAACGTTACTAAAGGCTCAAGGAGAGGATTTATTCTTATCTGATAACCGACAAATTTATATGTTGGTTTGCCCTTTCGCTCAAGGATAAACCTGATATTCGCTATAGTTATGAAAAGCTCATCAAAGTACTTATATGTTTTTTTATCTTTATCATTTTCGTCAGTGAAATCTGCTATGGTAAAACTATAATATACATGCATTCGCGAGATATATTTTTTTTCCCATAAGTCTAAAAATTTTGCTTTCGATGGAATTACTTTTTGCGTGAATGTTCTACCATGGTCATCTTCCCAAACAAGCTCTGGTTTTCTTGATGTTGTGTCTGTTTCAGTGGTTTCTAATAACGCAGTGATGAAATCCAACACATCTCCTAGGGACATGTCATATTTATAATTCAAGGCATTTTTTTCTATACTACTGTATGAAGGTAATGTTATGATTGGTGATGTACCTTTTCTTAATACATTCAATTTATTTTCATTTGAATCATAGTAACAATCAACAAATTCTCTACTTGCCTCAGTCATTTTTTCCATAAGACCTTCATTCAACTCCTGTGTAGTCATGTTGGGTTTTATGTAATATCTCATGTCAAACCTTTTTTTCACTGATTTTGATGAATCTGTCATTTCTAATGGAATAGCAAGAAACTCAAAGTCTGGATGCTCAAGACTTATCTTTCTTATCTCAAGAGCTTTTGACGCAGGATATTCAATGAAGTCTCTCGGTAATTTATATGAGACTGTATTACCACTTATCGTGCCATCATTCATAACATGTTCATAGTATAATCCATCATATTTAGACATTTTATATGTAACTAAAAGATGGAGAAAGTTATTAATCAAGTAGATAAGATTCTTCATGATGGAGCACGTAAGAATAGTAAAGAACTAAACAATGCACTCATTATGCCATTTTCTGATGATTATCCATTTTGTACTAATGGTGTTTATTTCTACTGCGGTAAGATGGGTTCAGGTAAGACATATGGTGTTATTCGTCATATAATGATAACAGACCGCTTCACTAATACTCCATATTATGACTCAATAGTTATCTCAGCAACATCAGGAACAATGGATAAAACAGCGAAGACATTTATGAGTCAAGTTAAAGCACCAGTACTGAAAAAGGATGATAAAGAACTTATGCCTTATTTAATGAAGAACGTTAAGATGAAAGCAAAGTATTACGCTATTGTTGAGTTCGTTCAAAGTAAGTTCGAAAAAATTTCAGAGGAGATGGAACACATCTTAACAAAGCATCAACTAAGGAAACCTGATGGAAAGTTTGAGTATAAGAAGATTGCAATATATGTTGTAAAGAAGTTGAACAAATATCCTTTCACAAAGTATCCCAGTAATTCTCTATTAGTGTTAGACGATTATGGTGGTCATGACTTATTGAATGACCCACGTTCACCATTAGCGAACTTCATCACTAAGGTCAGACATTATAACTATACTGTTGTCATCATGTGTCAAACATGGAGACATATATGTTTAAACATTAAGAGACTATGCACTGACTTCGTTATCTTTCAAGGTTATTCTATGAGAGACTTTCAGTCAATGATTGAACAGTCAGGAGCAACAGAAGATTGGGAAGAGTTATGGAACAAATACAAAGAGCTACCAACACCTCGTTCATATATGGAAGTTCATATAGTTGCAGGAAAGACGGACTTTAAAGAAGTTAAGCAACAAAAGATGACATTATTTTAAGAAGAAATAAATGGGTTTTGGCGATTATGTTAAAGCTGGATGGGGTATGGTGAAAAAAAATCCTGGTCTTGTAATAGGTGCTGGATTTAACATTGCTAACAAACTTTTCCCTCAAGTTGGTCAAGTCGGTGGTGTTATCGGTAGTCTTGGTGAAAGAATTGCAAAAACTACATTAGGTGAAGATAATGCATTAACGAAGAATCTTAAAGCATTCAATAAAGCTCTTGGTGGTGACTTCAGTAGAGACAAGCCTGTTGAAACACCTATAGTTCAACCTCAACAAACTATTGACAACAATAAGTATAACGCATACATTGGAGGAGCTATTTGGAACAATCATAAGCCATTAGTTCAGTCAGTACGTGTACTATCAGACATGCCATGGATTAATGCTATTAGTGGCACTATACGCAGATAATATATTTTTATGAGGTTTAAATGAGTGAACAAGAGAGGAAACTCATTGATGAACGAGTTAAGAAATGGGAGAATGAACGTCCGATAATTCGTACCATAATTAGCGATCAAAAGTTCAAGCAGCATACATTTGATTTTTTGCGCGATATATATAATGATCTTGCTTTTGATTACAATGCTAGGCAATACTTTGAGAAAGAATATGTTCAAAAAGGTCGTATTAATTTCCCAATGAGAAGAGAAGGCTTTTTGATTACATCAACATATACAGCACGTGGTAGAGACCCTTTTACAGACGCGGTTCGTAACTTTAAAGCACGTTCTTCTATTAATGATGATCCAGATTTCTACATACCTTATTTTCGTCCACCTTCGCATCCTTTACGAACCAGTGATCCTGGATATGACGCTAAACGAAGATATATAGAGACGAAATTAGCTAAATACAAGGAACCTAAGGATCCAAGGACTGGAGAAGTAAAGGAATCACATGTCAAGATAAATAAGCTTTACAAAGTAGTTGAAGAATTGGAGAAACGATCTAATGAGATTAACGCTGAGAAGAAAAAGGAAGTACCAAATATGAACAAACTAGATAAGATGATTAAGGAATATAGAGGATTGGCGAATACATCGAGCGTTCTAATAAAGGAAGTAGAAAACACGACAAAGCTGCAGAAAATGATTCATGATGAATTACTGTTAGGTGAATTTTCTATAAAACAAAGACAGAGTAACTTAATGGGTGAGGCTTATTATTTGGAGAATTGGTATAATGAGAGGTTAAAACAAATGTCGACTCCAACACCAACTCCTACACCTACTCCTACAGTAGCTCCAACACCAACTCCCACTCCTGAACCAACAGTAGCTCCAACGCCAACTCCTACAGTAGCTCCAACGCCAACTCTGACACCAACTGCTCACGCAGGTCCTCCACCAATGTCGAGTAGTCATGGTATAACATTAAATAAACCAACACCTACACCAAAAATAACTCCTGTATCACATCCTAGTACAACTAACCCAGTATCTGATTCAAATCAAGCGGAAAGATCACAGGTTCTTAAAAGAGCTAATACACCAACTGCTTCCCCTATTAGAACACCAGAGCCAACTCCAAGAATCACAAAGGCGCCAACACCTTCACCGACTGTTGAACCAACTCCAGAACCAACAGTACCTCCAACTCCATCTCCAACTCCATCACCGACACCTACAAAAGCACCTACTCCATCTCCAACTCCGACTAAAGCTCCGACACCGTCTCCAACACCAACTAAAGCTCAACACCGTCTCCAACTCCAGCTGAACCAACTGATGCAGAATCTATTCAAAATTGGTTAGACGAAGAAAAGCGAAAAGAAAAGGCTGCAATTGATGCTGCACTAGATAAAAACACACCACCACAGACACTTGGTGGTTACATGTTAAAGAAAGACAACATTCAAAGACAAGAACGTGCATTGAGTGTTGCCAGAGAACAAGCACAAGAAGAGAAGAAAATAGTTGAAGGAGAAGCTTCAAATAGAGGTGGTCCAGGAACTTACAAAGGATCAAACTATCCAGCAGAGAAAGCCTCGAGTGATAATGTTGTCTCAAGAGCTACTGATTTAGTTACCCATGGTATTCTAACTGGTGCAACAGCTGTTGGTAGTGCTATTGGAACCAGTGTTGACACTGTTGTTGATACTGTAAGAACTGTTACAAATCCTACACCTGAAGATAGGAAGGAAGAATTTCTTACTCTTAATACAAAGGCAAAACCAGGGATATGGATTGGTCGTGGAATTTTAAATGCTGGTAGTGCTATTGGCAATGGTGCTTCAGCGGTAGGGGATGGCTCGGAAGAACAGCAACATCAACCGCAAATGGAATACTAACAGGTGCCAAATCACTTGGTAATTGGGCTGATGATAAGTATACAAAATATTATGAAGAAAAAGCTCGTAAGGCTAAGGAAGAAGCTGAACGAAAGGCGAAAGAAGAAGCTGAACGTAAAGAACTAGAGGAGCTTAAGAAGAAAGAAAAAGCTCGTAAGGCTAAGGAAGAAGCTGAACGAAAGGCGAAAGAAGAAGCTGAACGTAAAGAACTAGAGGAGCTTAAGAAGAAAGAAAAAGCTCGTAAGGCGAAAGAAGAAGCTGAACGTAAAGAACTAGAGGAGCTTAAGAAGAAAGAAAAAGCTCGTAAGGCTAAGGAAGAAGCTGAACGAAAGGCGAAAGAAGAAGCTGATAGAAAGGCGAAAGCAGCAACACCATCGCCAACTCCATCTCCTTCACCATCTCCATCTCCTTCACCATCACCAACTCCATCGCCATCTCCATCTCCTTCACCATCAATAGCGGCTCCTGTGAGACAATTTGGTGCATGGGGTGCTGATTTAGTCAAAGATGCTGCACAAGGAATTGGAAAGGAACTGAAGAACACAACATTAGGTACAATAGAGCGTTTTGGTAATCTTACGGATTACACAATTAGATCAGCTGCTAATCTTTTATATAACCAGACTACTGATAACGGTACTGATGAATTGGCTGTAAACGGACTAGCATCAATTAAGAAATCAGCAGAAGATAAATACGATGAATGGAAAAAGAATATTAAGGGTGAATATAATAAGTATGCATATCCTGAAGAACATATGAAGTTAGAGCTTACCAGACTAAGATCAAAATATGGTAATGAAACAACAAATACTACAACGCAAACGACGAAAGCTGACAGAAAGATTGATGACACTCCTACTCCAACTCCTGCAATGGCGAACATCACAACAATTGCTCCAAGAGTTCCAACAGGAGAAGGTATATCAGGAAATGTTTCAACTACTCATAACATTACTGAAGCAGCTAATGTTTCAGCAGTTGAGCAACCTGTTGTTAATGTAACTCAGGAAAACGCTACTGAAACATCAACACCAAGACAGGATGTAAATAATGAACGTCCAGAAGTTAAGGAGGTTGCAAAAGCATACCTGGAGAAAAATACTACACAAGTTCTTGAAGCAGAAAAGCATCTCAATTCAGACAAAACACCATCTCCAACTCCTGAAGCATCAGTTCCTCCAGCAATTGGTGGAAATATACCTTCAGTATCACCATGGCAGAAATTTTATGGATTGTTTAAAGGAGCGAATAAGGTAATGGATGCTGCTGAGAATCTCCAAAAGTTCAAGAATGAAGTCGCAACTGGTGCAAAGGAAATAGAAGAGAATGATAAACAAGCTGCTGAATTAGCTAAACAACAAGCTGAAGCAACTAAACAAGCAGCAGCTCCTAAACAATCTATATCTAAGTCTCAAAGACAAGGTCCTGACCCAAGTGCTAAAGTCAAACAGAATCCAACACCACCTGCAGCAGAGAAGTCCAAGAAGGACAAGGACAAGAAGAAGGATAAATCAAAGAAGGACAAGGACAAGAAGAAAGATAAGGATAAGAAAAAATCGTCAAAAGATAAAAAACATAAAAATTTATCCAGTAAGAAATGAGTCAAGTCATTAAAGCATCAACTAAACAAAAGTGGTTAACTGAATATATAAAAGATGGTAAGGTTCCTGATGGATATTATGTACATACAATGAAAGACGGACGTGTACAGTTCCGTAAAGTCAAGCAACCTCTCAATGATGAACAGATCAGAAGGAAGATCTCATTGTATGAAACAAAAATAAAGGACTTACAAGCTAAACTCGAAACCCACGATACTTCTCAAGAAAACTAGGCATATCTTTAACATGACCTTCATTAATATTTTTCCTCCAATACTGTACTTCCATTTGTGACAACCTGTTTGGATTACCTTCACGCATACCTCTACCTGTCACTTTTCCTGTATTTTCGTTCTCAAACGTAACATCATACTTTACATCATTACCGACAAGTTCATGACCATCAATACTTTTAACAGCACCGTGTCTTCCTTGATCTAAAGTTTCTCCTTGCTTTAATCCATGCTCTATTTTTGTCCATATCTGATAACGTGGATATCTTGCAACACTTCCATCTTTTGCTCTTAACAAGTATGCACTTGTATCAACTGAATCAACTGTATAATAAGAAGGATCAAGATGTCTTCTTTGTTGGTTACCTTTACCCCATGTTCTTGGTTCAACTATGACTTGAACTTTTTGACCAGGTCTTAAGTTATAAAGGTTATTTTTTCTGACATACTCTTCTTTCAATCTTTGCTTCTTTATATATTCCTCATTATCCTTTTCTGTGAAATCATCAGGCTTTTGTTGTGTGCTTGAATGATATTCAGTGTTGTAGTCATTAATAATTTGTCTCATTGTATCTGCAGTGAAAGGTGGTGTTTTATCACCTTCTTTGAGGTTTAACTTCATATGTAACATAGTTCTAATAGTTCTACAGAACCTATTAATAATACCTAGTATGTTATGATTGTATTTCTGTGTCGTCATGTGCTCAATGTTATGACTGACCAACAGATCTCGAACATTTTGTGTCGTATAAGCTGGGTCTTCATCACTAGTAAGTATTGTAGGTTTCATTTCACCTGTAGCTTGTGAAATGAACTTCTGCATTGCACTTAGAACATTGTTTGAGTTCTTTTCACTCATTGGGAACGCATAACCTTTTCTACTGTTTACATTGATGAACAAAAGAAAATATGGTGGTGTTCCACCAGGATTCTCAAATGTATCGAATTGATAAGCTCCCATATCAGTTGAATATATTGGTAGCATCAAATCCTCTTGTATTAAAGTTTTTTCTTGTTTACCAACAGTCATTTTTTTATTAACGTTAAAGTCTTACAGGCATTGAGTAATCGCTATAACCATCATGGTCTGCGAATTCATGTAATCTTGATGCATCAGGTTCTTTCTTCGTTGGTGCATGAAACCTTGCTTCATCATAAAGGTTCATATAATGGTTTGTCACGTTTGGGGTAGACCCAATTTTTGCATATTGAGGATATGAGTAATGATACACTAAGTTGAACCCATTACTACCATCATCAACATATATCTTTGGTGGAGGTTGTCTTATTAAATTCCTTCCTCTTGGGGCTTTGAGTTGGACGATCTGATCTAGATCATTGTAAACAACTCCTGTTGCAGTATATTCTGTGTTGTTCTCTGGGTTAATGTTCGTCATTTATATGAGAATAAAACAATTTTTACTCATAACAAATGAGATCGAAGTCAATTCTTTATGGTGCAGCTAATCTTCCAATTGAACCAACAAGCAATGTTGATTCAAGAACAACTAATAACATTGTGATAAAGAACTATCCATCTGGTACAGTAAGTGATGCTCCAACAGAGATAAAAAAAGAGGAAACAACTACGAACTCAGAAGCACCAATGTATCCTCCTCCTTTAAGTCCATTAACTTCCAACCTGACCTCATCGAGATCTGTGGAGACTTCATCGAGGATTGGTGTAGAAGAGTATTTACTTAGTATATACCAGAAGATACTTCTAGACCAAGACAAAGAGCTCTTTTCTAACTTAGTGAGCAAAGATCAGATCTTACTACCTAAGCCAGACTTGGAAGAAGTTGTTCACAGAATGACTGGGTTCAAGTGTGAAATAGACCTACTGGACCCAGACATCACATGTTGTGGTATTCCACCACCTTTCTCAAAAATAGCTCAGATCAGAATCATTGATGAGAACAATATTGCTCAAGAGTTTAAGTATGCATATAATGCTCAATATACTGAGTTAATAAGTAGGTATAATTTATGTCTTAAGTATGTTATTGTTTAACCAAAAATTTTTTATCTAATGTTAAATATGGTTGTTCAAACAAGAACAAAAGCACAAATGTTTCAAGACTTACTCAATAAAACTTATTGTTTACTCAAGTAATTATTTTAGAACGTTTCGACGTACTCCTTGATCTTATCAAGAGCTTCGAGCATCCGCTTCTTTGCATTGTACTTGGCGAGGATGGCTTGCTCAATGGTGAGCTCGAAGGCTTCTTTACCGATCGGACGGTGATCGCGAAGATCTTTGAGTGCATCAAGAGCTGCAGTGTACTCTGATGGTAAATGGGAGCCATCTAGTAATGGGTACAAAATGAGCATGTATTCCTGTAGTAAGTTCTCCTGTTTCAAGCGGGACTTGAACTCTTCGCGGAGATCTTGAAGCTTTTGGAGCTTCTCAGTGGCTTGAAGGTAGTCAATGATGACCTTCTCTTGTCCTCAAGTGCTTGTGGGAGGAAGTGGACATAAGCTGTTGACTTCATCAAAAATGAAGTGGTCATGACACTTTTTAAGTTAATGTCCGAGCCATACAGTGATGTCGAAGCAGCACATGAACCAAAGAAGAAGTCTTGCTGGGAAAAGACAAAGATTGTTGGTAACGCAATCCTAGCCATTTGTGTTGTTTTGAACTTGATCGTACTTCTGATCTTGTTCTACAAACTCAACAGAGGTTATTGTCTCAAGTAAACACTTATTTTTATTACCATATAAATGATTTTTACCAAACCTCCTTTACCTTTCATAGGTAATAAGTCGAAGATCAGGAAAGCTCTTATCGACATACTCAAAGACATCAAAGGGGATTATGTCTTCGTTGACCTCTTTGGTGGTTCTCTCTATATCTCTCATCTGTTGCATATTATGTTCCCAAAAGCAACGATCATAGCTAACGACTATGATAACTACGTTGATAGACTGAAACACATTCATGACACGAATGAAATACTTAAGGAACTTAAGGAGAGAATAAATGTTAAGCCAGATGAGAAAATTCCTACTGATCAGAAAGAGATCGTCAGAGAAGTTATAAGTAAAGCTCCATACATAGACTGGGATACATTATGTTCACGTCTTCTCTATTCTGGAGCATACAAATACTATGATCTTGACACATTAATGAAGAAAGTGTTATACCTCAGATATACTAACTTATTTGGTGAAAACATAGATGACTATCTTGAAGGTTTAACTATTGTTCATAAAGATTGGAGAATACTCTTCAATGAGTATAAAGATCTTCCCAATGTTTTCTTTATATGTGATCCTCCATACTTCCATACTTATTCTATACAGTATGGAGATGAATGGACTCTTAAAGATACTGTAGAAACCTTTGATGTCCTTAATTATCCATCTATTTACTTCAGTAGTGATAAATCTTATACAGAAGAACTTTTAGAGATATTGACAAAAAGATATGGAGAGAAGTTTTCTATGAGAAAGCATGTTATAGATAGAGGTTTAATTAATCCTAACACCAGAAAAAATGAAGTAATATATGTCACTTTTTCTGTTAATGGAGAAGAGAAAGATCAAGAAGATAATAGTTGATGAGGGAACTGAAGAAGCGACGACATTCATCTTTGACGACGGAAAGCTCACATTCGTTGTCGATAAAAATGGACAACACTTACACAAAAGAAAGAGACCAAGAAAATTTTTAGATCTCCCAAAAGCTAGGAAACCAAAGGAACCATTTCCAGTACCAGCCGTCCAAGAACCAGAGAGACTTTTGATACCAAAACCTGTGGTTGACAAATATGATCCAGATCAGTTCTTCCCAAAAATACCAAAGTTAGAATAAAAACTCCTTTATTTCTTTAGTATTATATAATAAGTCTATTAGTAAGCTCTGTTCTCGTTCTGTTCTGGTATTTTGACGTCTTTTCATGGTCTCGCATAATAAGATCATGAACTTTTTCTTGAGATACTCGAAGAGCTGAGGTAAGTTATCATATTCTGGATATGTAGGAAGCATCCCTGCTATCGTAAGTGTTGTATCAATAAGGATTGGACTTATATCGGAAAAGTCGAGATCTGGAGTAGAATAAGAAGGTAAGTCTCTTACATGTAGGTAGTCATTATATGCTTTACGCATGAGACTGAGTTTCTGGAGCACAACTATGAGACTTTGGTTCTGACGTTCAAGTTTGCTTAAAGTTCTCTCCAAGCTTCTGTAATAAACGTCAACCTCTGTAAGAGCAGATATTTTTGCATTGATCTCGGAGATCTTTTCTTGAACTTCACCAAGTTTGACCTTAACTGACGTTTGAGCTCCCATCATGTTTTCATCAAGGTCATTCTCTATGTCATCAATGATATCTTCCCATGAAGTCATGTTTTCATCATTGATCTTAACGTGAACACTCATGAAAAAAATGTCATGTAAAGTATAAATGTCAGATTTTTACTCTTGAGCTTCTTCTCTCTGGATTGACTCGTCTGTAGGGCTTAATGTGCCATCACGTTCGACCAGAAGGTTCTGCTCAGGTCTGTCAAGGAGCTGTCTGTAGGTCGTGAAGGTTTCAACGAGTCCTTGGTAAGGAGTTTGGAGATCAACATCGACCCATGGGTGTTTGCGTAAGAAAGCAGCAAGGCTTTCACGCTTGGAGTCAATGACATCTTTCTTATTGGTTAATCCTTCTTCAAAGCTTAGGATTACTCCTGCAGTTGATTCAAGTCTTTGGATCTGGCGTCTGGAAACCTTGGTGAGTTGTCTTATCCTCTCGTTTCCAAATACATGCAGGAGATATGCAGAAATTACTTCATTAAGTTCGATTAAACAAATTGGATGAAGATCAGTCATGGCTTTTGTAAAGCAATCTTTTGTAAAGCTGTCTTTTGTAAAGCAGACTTTTGTAAAGCAGACTTTTGTAAAGCAATCTTTTGTCAAGACGTCTTTTGTAAAGCAGACTTTTGTAAAGCAATCTTTTGTCAAGACGTCTTTTGTAAAGCAAAAGTATTCAATTTTGTGAGAAAATGCTTTTGTAAAGCAGTCTTTTGTAAAGCTGTCTTTTGTCAAGACGTCTTTTGTAAAGCTGTCTTTTGTAAAGCAGTCTTTTGTAAAGCTGTCTTTTGTAAAGCTGTCTTTTGTAAAGCTGTCTTTTGTAAAGCAGTCTTTTGTAAAGCTGTCTTTTGTAAAGCTGTCTTTTGTAAAGCTGTCTTTTGTAAAGCTGTCTTTTGTAAAGCTGTCTTTTGTAAAGCAGTCTTTTGTAAAGCTGTCTTTTGTAAAGCTGTCTTTTGTAAAGCTGTCTTTTGTAAAGCTGTCTTTTGTAAAGCAGTCTTTTGTAAAGACATAACCGACGACCGAATGTCCCAAGATGGTACAACACCAGCTCCAGCATCACCAACACTAGATATGATGGCAATGATGATGCAGATGATGCAACAGCAAACCCAGCTTATACAGCAAATGCAGGAAAAGAAAACTTTCAATAAACCTGCAAAGAACTCACAAGATCTTGAAGCTGGACTCAATGCTCTCAGGAACGACTACAAGAGAGAGCAGATGACGTTTAGGAAGAAGGGTGATGAAGATTATGAGAATGATCCGATCGAGGAAGACGAGATCAAGTCCACTGCATCCACAAAGACCCTCCAGGATGAAAGAGATGATGAGGGATTCCTTACCAAGTCTCAAAGACTCTTTGTCCTTGAGTTCTTCACGATCTCTGCCTTGAGATCTATGAGGAATTGGAAGGGTCGCGTTCCAAGTGGCTCAAACAAGCGCGAACTACTCATGACCGCAGTACCGCTCACTAAGACAAAAGTCCAGCTCATGGACTTTATCCTTTCCGCTTGTCCCGACGAGATCTAAGATCTGATCAGAGTAAAAACTTACATTTATGAGCTAAGCTCAGTAATAATTAGTTGTTTATTCTTTCTTCTCATACTTCTGTGCAAGGTTTCCACGGAAGAACTCAAGCAACATTTGGATCTTTCCAAGCTTTCGACCTTCTTTTTCGAGGTCATCCTGGTAAGTTCGGAATGCGTCAACGTGTGAGCTCGCATAGAATGCAGCAACAACAACCTCTTCTGCACCTTCTTTGCTGTCAAGTGGCATGAACTCGAATCCTTCCATTCGACCAAATAAAAGTGACAAAAATGTCAATGAGACCCACTCGTTGCATAGATGCTAAACCTGGTCCGAAGATGCAAAAGTTCTTCAGAACACTCATGTCTGACCAGAGGGAGTACGGTCATGAAGAGGTCATACAGATCTTCGATCAGTGTGTACCAAAGCCTGAGAATCCAGACGAACTCTTCATGTAAATTTACTTGCTTCAATGGAGAGATGAGAGACCAGGTATGAAACTCAGACCAATAACAATCTTTCCAGGTTTCTGCAATTACCTAGAACAAGCATGCCAGATCAAATGGTCTGACACCATCTTCCTCCAAAAATAAACTTTATCGTTTATAACACTTCAGGATCTACATCTATTTCTTCTGCTTCATCCTCAATGTCGATCTCTTCGACAGGTTTGATAGCAGCTTTGAGTAAGTTCTTACCCATTGTCTTAAGTTCAACTGGGTTATATTCTTTGTCTTTACTCTTTGTTGATTTCGTGAGATCTACATATAAACAATAACTTTTAGTCTTGTCAAGGTTTATTCTCGCTGAGAAATGGTCAGGAATGTTTATAGCTATCTTTTCAAACTTGAGTAAATTAGCTAAACCTTCATTTGTGTATTTCTGCTTATCGACAAAGATCATGATCGGACTTGCACTATAACCATACTTTCCTTGACGTAATGTTTGTGGTAAGCATATAAGTAGTCTCTTTGCTGTTTTATTTTGCTTCTTCACTTCATCTACAAACTGTTGGATCTTAAAGAACTTCAAATGATGTTCAGACATCTTTATATACCCGATAAAAAGTTCAGATAAAAAAATAATTAGCTATATTTTTATTAGTGCATAAATGAGTCTTTCTTTGAGATTTTCTGATGAAGATCTAACTTTGGTAAGATCTTTAAAAGATGATGAAAACATTCTTT